CGCGCGAGCCCCCGGGGCGGGTAAAACCCGGTTGCTGCTGTCCCTGCCCCTCCCCTTCCTCCCTACCCCCCCTTTCCCGCTCCTTCCTCATTTTTCAACCCCCTCCCCCTCTTTTAAAATCTAATTCGTTTATATACTTATTTTTAGAGGGGCCCACCCCGCCTTTCGAGGGGCGCGGCGGGCATCGCCCCCATCCCGCGTCACGCACGCACCTCCTGCAGCCCAACAGCTCCGGGCCCCGGCTGCACCCCCGCAGCCCTTTCCGGGTGGAGAAGATTCTCCTCAGGGGCTCCTGCTCTGCTGCACCCCATTTTCTTTTCTCTTACGCCCCCCAGATCCCAACTGCCCCCTCGCAGCGCCCGACCTCGTGCCGCAGGCCCTACCCGATCTCTGCTTTCTGCATCTGGGCCTTGCATTCGGCCTCTCCTCCCAGGCCCCTTCAACTAAAAATCCTCCTAACCCTTGAATTTTCAAGTTTAGTGGACCCAGCTTTGGCTCTTTTTAGGATCTTCAACAACAACAACAACAAATCTCTCCTATCTCCCTAGATTATGCTTCCCCTTTATTTTAGAAACTTCCTCTAGCAAAAAAAAATTTTTTTTTGCTTACCCTGATTTCCGGCAAAAATCATTTCTTCCTATCCAGAGTCCTACTTTTTGGAATGTCTCTCCTTTATAACAAACCAACTCCAGTCCTTCCAGTTTCTCCCTAGCCTAGTATTTCTTTTTCCAACACCCCCACCCCCTGCAATCTCTCCAACAAAAATACCTTTTCATCATCAGTTTCACCCCCCTACTCCACCCCAGTTAGCTTTGTCCCAGCAAAACCCTCCAGATTCCTTCCCAGGGGGATTAAAAAAAAAAAAAAATTCTCCCGTTTAACAAGACTCTTCTTTCCCACCCAGATTTAGTTGCTTCCTTCCTTCCTTCAAAAATTACCCCCTCCCTCAATTTCACACCTGTGTCCTTGCTTCTCTGGGGACCTGAATTCTGAGTGCCCCTTCCTTTCAGGGCCTGAAGGAAAGGCTGTGGATTGTGGCAAAGAGATTGGATGAGTGTTTAGAATTTATCACCCCGTGTTTCAGGAGGAAGTAGTCAGTGGTCTGACTGTCACCTGAACCCCCTCCCTGTGGGGCCTAAACTGGGCTCTCCCATTTCCTGGAGATCCACGTGGCTCCTCTGGTGAGTTTCTTCACTTTGCACTTGTCCAAAGACACCTACTTTGTCAGATGGCTCCCTTTCTTTCTCAGAAGGGTTCCTAATCCAAGAATCTCTATTAGGCGTGTCTTCTGTGCCAAAGGGGAGACCACACAAGTTGCTGCTTTGGGAAGTCAGACAGAGGAGAGGGTTATTTCTTGTGTAGGTTGGCCCCTCTGGAGGAATGCAGACATTTTTTAGATCGGTGTATGTTTCACCATTGATGCCTATTGCAAAAAAGCTTTTGCCTTCCCTTGCTCAGGGTAGCAACTCAGGTACCTACAGGGGATGGTTAGGTAAAGGGTGGGAGTGATGGGGGCTATGGTAAACCAGAATGTGTGTCCTATCTAAGTGGCGCCAGCTAAAGGTTGCCACGTGGAATTGCCAGCTCAGTGTTGCCACATTTTAGATTTTTTTTTTTTTTTGAGAAGAGGACAGAAAATTATCTTTAATGTAAAATTTTCAGATTTTCCAGTGTTGACAAGGAATTTAATAAGTATTTAAAAGCAGTGTGGGGGCCTTACAAAGCATGACTGCCATCCACCAGTTTGGAATTTTTAGTTTAGAGTTTTCTTTCTGTGTTAAAAAAAAAAAAAAATCAGTTGCTGTTGAGTTGATTCCGACTCATGGTGCTCCTTGTGTGTCAGAGTAGAAAGGTACTCCATAGGGTTTTTAATGGCTGACTTTTTGGAAGTCGATCTCCAGGCCTTTCTACTGAGGTACCTCCAGGTGGACTTGAACCACCAGTCTTTCAGTTAGCAGCTGACCACTTAACCATTGCACCACCCAGGGTTCAGTGTTAAATTCACACACAAATATGCACATCTGTGTGGTCATACGTGTACATACAGAACTTTATTTCTTTAGAACAGCAGTTCTCAAACTTTCAGATTTTAGGACCCCTTTATACTTACAAAAAATGATTGAGGACCCCAGAGAGTTTTTGTTTTTGTGAATTATATCTGCTGATAAATGCTGTATTAGAACTTTAATGAGCTTTCAAATATATATGAATTCATTTTAAAATAGCAATAATAAATCCATTGCACATTAACATAAATAACATTTTTATTTAAAAAAAACTAGTTCTGAGAACAAAATGTAGTGGGAAGAGTGGCATTTACTTTATATTTTTGCAATCATCTGGCTTCTCATATCTGCTTGTGTGTTCAGCCTCTTGCAGTATCACATGTCCTGTAGCCTCTGGAAAACTTCACTGAGAATGAAAAAGACAGGTTACATCTGAGTATTATTATGAAAATAGTTTTGACCCTGCAGACTCCCTGAAAGAGTCTTCAGGGCCCCTAGGGGTCCCCCTCCCCCCCACCTCACTTTGAAAACTGCTTCTCTAGATTTTAATGCTTATTGCACTTTCTGGTAGCGTCAGCTTTTGGGGAGTGATAAATTTTGCTGACTCTTTTCCTCCTTTAGTTACCTCTAAAACTAAAAACCTGTTGTGTAGTCATTCTGACTCATAGCATCCCCATAGGTCAGAGTAGAGCTGCCCCAGAGGATTTCCAAGGCTGTAATCTTTACGGGAGCAAATCGCCAGGTCTTTTCTCCCTCAGAGCTGCTGGGTGGGTTTGAACTGCTGACCTTTGGTTAGCAGCCGAGCCTTAACCGCTGTGCCACCAGGGCTCCTAGTTATCTCTACTTGAGACTTTTCCTGGGAAGTACAGAAGTATACCTTCTGATTTCTCCATGTTTTCCCCTTTCTCAGTGTAAGCTTTAAATCCACTGTTTAAATAGGTGATCAGAGGAAATGAATGAACCTTCTGGTTGAAATGATACGTTGGTTACAGGGCTGGAGGAGGGCATCTTCCTTAATTGTTCAAACTCAAATGTGGAGTGGTTAAAATGGGAGGGCTTTGAAGTCTAACTACCTGGGTTTGAATCCTAAGTTTGATTTTAGGCAAGTTACTAAATTTCTCTGGATTTTATTTGCCTTCACATTCCCCCAGAGGTACATTGGAATAAAGGCCTGTTATCAGCTTCTGAAAAATCAACCACTGAAAACACTATGGAGCGCAGTTCTGCTCTAACACACATAGGGCTGCTGTGAGTCAGAATTGACACAACGGCAACTGACTTACGGGAACTGGAAGCCATAAATCCTATGCAGAGACACCGTCCCTTAGCTCTATCCTCTTATTACTGTCAGGGAATAGCAAATCTAATACATTTTCAAGAGAAGCCAGAAGTCTCTATCTTTTGACAAAATCTTCCCGTTTCTTAATATTGGTGGCTAATCCAATTTTTTCTTTTTAAACGCTGTGTAAGCCAAAGAAACGTCTATAGTTTACAATAAGATTTGGAGTGGGAAATAAGGAAAGACATTACAGTAGTTGGGTAAAAGCTGCAAATCTCTCTACTCTCCCCTAGTTCCCAACAGCCTGATGCTACTCAGACTTGATCACCCCTCTGTCTGGTAACGTTGATGCAGAAAAGGAAAGAAGGTGGCACATAAAGCATTTTTAAAAAAAGGCTGGCCGAATGGGGCTTTTCAAAGAGGAAAAGAGATGGCCGAATGGAATCCTGTCATTCATCAATGAAAGGGATGCTGTGAGCCTTCTGTGATCAAAGTTCTGTGCCAGGCAAGATGCTGTGAGACACATAGAACAGAGTCCCAGCCATCCTGGAGCTTATAAAAAAACAAAACAAAAAACAAACCCATTGCTGTCGAGTCTATTTCAACTCATAGCGACCCTGTACAACAGAGTAGAGCTGCCCCACAGGGTTTCCAAGGCTGTAATCTTCATGGAAGCAGACTGCCACATCTTTCTCCCATGGAGTGGCTAATGGATTGAACTGCCAACCTTTTGGGTAGCAGCCAAGTGTGCTTAACCATTGCACCACCAGGGCTCCTTCCTGGAGCTTATCGTCTGGGGAAAATAGAAGAACCTGAAAGATAATTAAATTCCGAGGCCATTTAGAATAAACGCAAGTGGATTGTCAGATAAGTGCTTCTCTGAGTTCAGAGGAAGGAGAAATAATCTTAGACTTTGTTGTGTTGGGAGTATTCTCTATAAAGGAGGTGGGATTCAAGCCTGATTTTGAAGGGTTTGATTTGGTAGAACTGAGTAGAAAGGGATTAAACAAAAAAACCTGAACTTGTTGCCGTTGAGTTGATTTTGACTCATAGCGACCCTATAGGACACAGTAGAGCTGCCCCATAGGGTTTCCTAGGCTGTAATCTTTACAGAAGCGGATTGCCACATCTTTCTCCCTCGGAGCAGCTGGTCGGTTTGAACTACCCACCTTCTGGTTAGCAGTTGAGCACTTCACCATTGTGCCACCAGGGCTCCTCAGGAAGAGGGATTAGTCAAGGGAAATTGCACAAATCAGGGTAGAAAAATCAGATGCTTTCAGGGGGCTTGCAGGACATATAAATGAGTGAAGAGGGCAGGTGTGAGCAGTGGGGAGTAGTGAGGAGTGTGGCAAACTGGAGCATGCATGCCCTGTCTAAAGGCAGCTGCAGCTTCTCAGCTCCAGCCAATTGTTGCTTTGCAGGAATGTGGACCCAGTGTTGACAGAGATTCAGATTTTTTAATAAGACATTGCAAATGCTTATCTTAATGAGAAATCTCTAGATCTGTAATGTCCAATCCAATACACTAGCCAGTTGTAGCTATTTAAATTTGTACTTCTTGTTATTGTTATCTGCCGTTGAGTCAGCACCCAACTCATGGTGTCCTCATCCATAACAACGAAACACTGCCTAGTCCTGCACCATTCCCATGACTGGTTGTGGATCAGACCATAAATTTGAACTTATATAAACTAAAATGGAATAAAATAAAAAACATTCAGTTTTTCAGTTTACACTAGTCACATGTCAAGTGCTCAACTGCCACGTGGGCTAGTGGCTACCACATCGGGTAGTGCAGATTTAGAACATTCCTTCCAGCACAGAAAGTTCTTTCAGGCAGCACTGTTCTAGATTTTTCAACTTGATAACCAATCGAAAAATATTTAAACACACTGCAGGCTAAGTAAAATACCTTTGTAGGCCAGGTGGACCTTCAGATTTTTGCCTTCCTTCCTCCTTCCTTCCCTCCCTCTCTCCCTCCCTTGCTCCTTCCCTGCCTCCCTTCCTTTTTTGCTTCCCTCCCTCCAAACCATACCACAGTAGATATTATTTACCTAACTGTGGGCTCAGAGTCCCTGAGTGGTGCAAAAGATTAACATGCTCGGCTCCTAACCAAAAGGTTGGAGGTTCAAGTCCACCCAGAGGCACCTCAGAAGAAAGGCCTGGCGATCTCCTTCCAAAAAAGCAGCCATTGAAGACTCTGTGGAGCACGGTTCTGTTCTGACACATGTGGGGCTACCATGAATCAGGATTGACTCAATGGCAGCTGGTCAACTGTGGATTTCTTTCTGCAGCTAGAAACCCATGGTGGGTTACTTTCCCAATAGTTGGTGACATTTCACAGGAGAATACCTGTATCCCCTACCTGTGTATCGTGGAATATGGAATAACAGGCCTTTTTTTTAAAAAAAAATAATTGCTTCAGATCCCCAGTGTTGACTTAAATCTAAAGAATTCAACAAGACATAAATGGTAATAAAACAAGGCATGAATTCCTAAAGCTTATAACTCCTGTGCAGCTATAAAACCAAAATCAACTTGGAAATTAAATACAAACAAAACAACCAAGCCAATGTAATTCAAATTACGTTACATTACGACCTTAAACATTAACTTAATGAGAGGAATGCTATTTTGCTGAAACTGCCCCTTGAAATAAGTACTTTGCTGACCCCCACGCTGGACTGTCTTGGTTTTAGCAGGCCCGGTGAGTCTCAGTACTCCCACCCTTTTCTCAATTTTAAGTGCTGCAGAACCTCGATTTGTACCATGATATTGGTTGGCCGGAGTCCCTGGGTAGGGCAAACAGTTAAATGCTCGACTACCTGCTGAATGATTGGTGGTTTGAACCGATCCAGAGGCGTAATCTACTTCCAAAAGGTCGACCTTGAAAACTCTCTGGAGCAGTTCTACTCTGCACACATGGGGCCGACATAAGTCGCAATCAACTTGACAGCAGCTAACTAACACCATCAGCAATGTTAGTTGACTTGCATTTGAGCTGGAAGGCGTTATTACAAGTTAAATCCACCCTCAACCGTCTTCTCATTAGCCTATAGCAATTAAAGTAATTCTGTCTGGCACTAGTGCAAATATAAACACAACGCAGACATTGAAACTACACAGTAGTATGTCGTTATAAGGTGGTTGTCCAGTGGTCCAAATAGTGAATTTTTTTCCTTTTAGATTATTCTCAAAATGAAAACAAAAATTTAACAACTGTTGGAAAGAACATTTGGACCCTTGGGAATGCCTGTAACATTTCAGGGGCCCACAGACTCTGCCCTACAGGGACTAGCTGGGAGCTCGGCACATAACCAGTTGTCATCCAGTCAGCTTTGACTCAGGGCAACCCCATGTGTGTCAGAGTAGAACTGTGCTGCATAGGGTTTTTAATGGCTGTTTTTTTGGAATTAGATCACCAGGCCTTTTCTCTGAGGCACCTCTGGGTAAACTCAGACCTCCAACCTTTCGGTTAGCAGCTGAGCATGTTAACCGTTTGTACCACCCAGGGTCTCTGCTCAGTACATGTTGTTGTTGTTGTTGGGTGCCATCGAGTTGATTCCAACTCACAGTGACCCCATGTGACATGGTAGAACTGCCCCACAGGGTCTCCTAGGCTGTAATCTTTATGAGAGCAGATCACCAGGTCTTTCTCCTGTGGAGCTGCTGGTGGGTTTTCACCACCAACCTTTCAGTTAGCAGCTGAGTGCATAACCAGTGCACCACCAGGGTTTCTTGCTGTGTACATAGAAGGTGCTAAAACTCTTGTTGAGTTGAATTTATTTGTTAACAGAATAAGAGTAAGTTCAATATTGGCCCAGGGGGTTTGGTTTACTCTCTGGGAAAGGATGTAAATATCAAAGCATGGCTTTTGGATTTATGGCTTACCTGTGTGAGGTGGTCATCAGATAGTTTCTTCTACGGACTGTGGGGGTAGGTTGGAAAGCTGGTAATTTGGCATTTGGGAAAGGAAGTGAGAGACATTGTGTCTCCTCGCTCTTCCTCCATCCAACCCCTTTTGTTTTTCGTAGTTTAATTGAGGTAGAGTAGTACACAGTTTGGGGACATTTGGTGGCTCTGGTAAAATAACTGCCTTCCATGAGAGAGACCAGCCAATGTATCTCATGTGCAGCCACCACCCGTCTGTCAGTGAAGGCTTGGGTGTTGCTGTGATGCTGAACAGGTTTCAGCAGACCTTCTAGACTAAGACAGACTAGGAAGAAAGGTCTGGCAATCGACTTCCAAATCAGCTAGTGGAAGCCTTATGGATTACAACTGACCAATCTGCAACCGATCATGGGGGTGGAGCAGGACTGGGCAGTGTTTGGTTCGTTGTGCGTGGTGTTGCCGTGAGTTGGGCTGATTCAGCAGCTAACAACAGCAACGTCAGTAGTGTACAGTTGATTCTATAGGAGATGAGCATTATATAGTGGGTAAGGGTACAAGCTCCGAAGCCAAAGTATCTGGGTTTAAAACTCTTGTTGAGTTGAACTTATTTGTTGACAGAACAAGAGTAAGTTCAGCATTGGCCCGGGGGATTTGCTTTGTTGTGTGTGTGAAAATATACATATTTTGAAAATATGCATACATTTTCACACACACAAGCACAATATAGGTGTGTTCAGCATCACAGCAACATATTTACATCCTTTCCCAGATAGTAAAGTAGGTTCTGAGGTCAGGTAGTGCAAGTCCTCCTACTTTATTCTTTTTCTTCAATAGTGCTAATCTGGGGTCTCTTTCCTTTCCCTATAAAGTTAATGATTAGTTTTACCATCTCATTAAGGAATGCTGTTGGTATTTGGATCAGGATTGCGTTGTATTTGTACATTGCTTTGGGTAGAATTGACATTTTCACAATGTTGAGTCGACCTATCCATGAGCATGGTATGTTTTTCCATTTATGTAGGTCTCGTTTAGTTTCTTGTGGTAGGGTTTTATGGTTTTCTTTGTATAGGTCTTTTACATCCCTGGTTAGATTTATTCCTAAGTATTTTATTTTTTTAGGGGCTGTTATAAATGGTGGTATTGTTTTCCTGATTTCCTTTTCGTAGTTCTCTTTATTGGTGTATAGGATGGGAAAAGTTTATAGTAGCACTGTAAAAGAAAGTTTGGAATTGATAGAGAAATTCATTTTACCTCAGAATATAAATGTCTACAGATCCACAATCCCTCCTCTGCGATTTGGAAATCCAAAAAGCTCTGAGAATCCCAAGTCTTCTCAGACCTTTCAGTTGGCAGCTGAGCATGTTAACTGTTTGCACCACCCAGTGACACCAATTTCAATACCACATTGTGTTTAAACATTATTATTTTGACATGTAATCAATATAAAAATTATTAAATTTGCTCTCTGTTTTTGTACTCAGTCTTCCAAATTCAGCTTGTATTTTACACTCTGAGCACACCTCAGTTTGGACCAGTCACATTCTAGTGCTTCAGGGCCACACATGACTTGTGGCCACATTTTGGACAGCACAGTTTTAGGCCCCACATCTGAGCCGACTTTTCCTCTTGAACCAAACTTGAGCTTACATCTCCGGCTTTGAGTTTTCTCATCGTTTCCAGGACTTTCCCCCCTTCCCCACCCCCAGTTTTTGAGCTTGGCTATGTATTAAAAATGATCTTTTGTCATATTTCTATATATTTATAGTTGAATAAAGGAGCCCTTTTGGCACAACAGTTAAGTGCTCGGCTGCTAACCAAATGATCGGCGATTCGAACCCACCCGACAGCTCTGCAGGAGAAAGACCTGGCAGTCTGCTTTCGTAGATTACAGCCCAGGAAACCCTGTGGGGCTGTTGTGCTCTTATCACGTGGGTTACCATGAGTCGAAATCGACTCAATGGCAGCCAACAACAGCATAGTTGGGGTTTGGTCCACCATGTTGTTGGAAGCCCTTTCGTTTATTTCTTCTGATAACCTTATGTTGGAGTTAGGCTTATACCCAATTTATAGATGAAGAAACTGAAGCTCAGAGCTTCAGTTACTTGTACCAGGTCGCATGGCTATTAAGCGACAGAGAACGGACTCAAACACAGATCAGTTTGAATTCCAAGTCCATGCTCTGCCCACCATGGTTTATTGCCATATCATCATTTTGAGTCTTCCTTGTTCATTTTTAGGCATTAGGTGCCAGTCAGGGCTCTCTCTGTCTCGCCTCCTCAAGTGACCCTGCCTATCTGTAGAGCAGCTCTTGGCCAAGACCCAGCAGCAGAGAGCTATGGAGCAGTACAACCTCGAGGATGAGGGTGCCCTTCCATCTGAGATGCACCTCCCTTCCTTCTCCGAAAGCCAAGGGCTCAACTGCAGCGACACCCTCACCCGAGACCTGGGTCCCAACACACGAGACTTGCTCTATGCCGGCCTGAGCGGTTTGGGCCTGGACCCCAGTCTGCCGGCATCTGACATGCCCAGCGAGGTGCTTGAGGACAATTTGGATGCCGTGTCCCTGTACTCGGGGAAGGACAGTGATTCCGTGAAGTTGCTGGAGGAGTACACGGACCCGGAGTCACAGAATTCCTTACAAGGTGAGGCTGTCCATGGGCTCCAAGGCCTGGTGGGACCTTTGAAAGTTCCCATGGCTAGCTAGGGATTGGTTAAAAAAGTTTTCCTCTTCCTCGGGTGAATAGCGGATGGTCACCTTTTTTTGTACTTGGGAATTGTTCCCAGCATCCTAGATAAAGGAGTTTGAACACTAAACCTCAGAAATAATATTGAGAAATTGGGATGTTTGGGGACGGCCTAATCTTTCGTGCAGGCGGGTTTTACCTTCAGATGTTTCAGAAGGAGCCCTGGTGGCACGACAGTTAAGTGCTTGGCTGCTAACCAAAAGGTTGGCAGTTTGAACTCACCCAGTACTTCACGGAAGGAAAGACCTGGCAATCTGCTCCGTAAAGATTAGCACCTAGGAAACCCTGTGGGGCAGTTCTGCTCTGTCACGTGGGGTCACTATGAGTCAAAATCGACACCACGGGACACAACAACACCACCACCACCATATTTCTAGTCTCTCTCCACTTTCCTGGACTGAACTGGGTCCTGTCCATTCTGGTCTTCGGTCGTATAACCTTCCTAAGTCTCAGTGTCTTCATCTGTAAAGTGGGAAAAACTATATTATCCACTCTGCTTCCTCCCAGAGTAATAGCAATAAGGATCAAAAGAAGAAGCAAATGTAAAGTGCTTCGTAAACCGTAAAGCACTGGGCAGATACTATTTTTTACCAATATTGTTATATTTAATTTTAGACAGCTCATTGATTCAGTTCTAAGTCCTTCTCTTCAGCAGCAGAGGAGCACAGAGAGAACTAACGAAATTATTAAATAACCTTTTTGAATCTCCTTTTGGGTTGCCGGTAGGCTACCCCAAGAGGGTAAATTTGTTTTTTTTGTTTTTGTTGTTAAACCCGATTCATGGGTCAGTTGCTGAGCTTGGTTGGTTGAGCTAGAGCTTTTTGATACTTAAAATCACATCATGCACAAGGAAGACCACATCTGAAAACCCTGGCCCTTCAAAAGGGTTATTAATGGTCATTTGGATAAACAGGTCAAGAAACGCCCCAATGACTTGCTAAAAGAAAATCTTCTGAGCCTGTCCCCCCGCACTCCACACAAGATGTAGCATACAAAGCGAAAGCCTTGTCACTGCCTGGGAACGACAGCTAAGTATGAAATCCTAGAGTCTTGGGACATTGTACAGGACATCCACAGTGTTGCAGGCACCGGGGCAGGCCTAGGGGTACAGTAATTCGGGTTCCCAACCTGAGCCACAGAAATTACATTAGAAGTACTGGTCGTGGCGAGTAAGTGTGCATTTTGCTGGGCAGAGAAATCTCTAGCTTTCATCAGATTTCCATAAGACTGTGAGCTCCCCAAAATACAGGCAGTTCCTGGGTTATGAACATCTGTACAACCTGTAGTTATGAACCAACCCCTGTAAAGCTTATTACGTTAAAAATTTGAGGTACGTAAAATTTTTCATAATAACAAATGGGCCCTACTTTGCAGCATGCCTCAAAACATTATTATTATTGTTTATGTATCATTAAAGATGTTTTAGTGTATCTGGAAATGTTTCTTTAATTTTTTTATGCATAGAAAGGTATACTACATACTACATACTAAGACAAACATTTGACTAACTGAATTAGATATGAACTGTACCTAACTGTTCCAACTTATGTACAAATTTGACTTAAAGACAGACTTAGGAACCGAACTCGTTCGTAATCCAGGGACTGCCTGTATTCCAAGTCCTCAATCAAATTCAGCTTTTCTTAATCTCTTCTAAACTTGAAGTGTTTATCTTATATGAAAAGAAAAGAATCCACTGGACGTTAAATTTTAACAAATCTTTACATTTTTGTAACTTACATTCAGGTCCATGTAAGTATATATTCATACTTCTTTTTTTAATTAGAAAAGTAGTAAAACCTGTGAAAGCCAGAACCCATGTAAGATGGAAACCTCTCAGAGAAGGAAAACTCAAATATTTCCTACTAAAAGGAGAGAGAAAAGTGGTAAGACTGCCTGTCAAAGGCGGAAAACTTTCGAGACCCGGAAAAACAAGGCAGTCCTGCAGAATTCCGGCTCTCACTGTGCTAGTTTATTAAAGAAAACTTGGAAAACAAGGAAAAGCAGTAAGCGAGGAAAAAACCCACCCTGGCTTCCACATGTAGATCCTTAACAATGTGGTTAGAGTTGCTCAGACAGATACTGTTTTGCAGAGATGTAACATTTTAAAATAGTTTTGCAGTGTATAATTCTAAGTTTTTGGAACTGACTGTATTTGCTTTCATAAGTGAAGTTAGACCATACAGTTGTCATTTTAATAGCTATTCCTTTGTGTTGTTAGACCCTGTTCTTGCTTGTTGGACTGTTACAGTGCCTCAGTGAACAACTTTGTATATATTGTGTTTTCTTTTGGATTAGTTTCTTGAACATACTCCCCAAAGTAGGTTTACGTGGTCAGAGCACAGAAACAGCTTTTACAGCACAGCTTTCTAGGGAGAGTGGGTGGCTTCTAGGGCCAGTGGCTCAGTTGGCCTGCTTTTCAGTGTCCTTGCCAATTTTTAAAAACAACACAGTTACTTCAGTTAGTATTTTTTTTGAACAAAGAAGAGAGTTTAATACTGTATTTAGGTATTAGTATTTAACGTACAGAAACCCATGGCTTTTTTGTATACCCGCAGTAGTCAACAATATAAGGGAAACAGATTTCTGAGGACCTCAAAATATAAACTATTTGGTAGTAAATTTAACAATAAATGTGTAGGACCTACATAGAAGGAAACATTTTAAGACTTCACAAAGGAATATTTCACCAAGAACAGATTTGGATAAATGAGAGACCTCCTTTTTTTCCTGAATAAAAATATTATGTATTTTAAATGTCTGTTTCCTCTGTAGGGTTGCTATGAGTCAGAATCGACTCAATGGCAATTGAGTTTGTTTTTTTTTTTTTTAATTTCCTCTTTGTTCTAATAGATATCATAACATCTTATAAAGCCACAATAATTAAAACAGTGTAGCACAGCTCAGGGGATAGATCTATATAACAGAAAGCTCAACACCAAACCCAAATATATATATAGTAATACCATAATATCATAAAGATGACTTCTTAACCAAATGAGATTGGGACAATTGGAAAGTACAGTAAGACTCCCATTTCATATCAATATTAAATTTTAGACAGCTCGCAAATTTAAAATATTGGAGACATTAGAAATAAATATAGGTTAATACTCATATAATTCAGTTAGCATTTTAAAGTAACTTAGCGAGACTGGGAACTTTCCCTGAAGGGAGTCCTGTTTTTTTTTGTTTAAGCGGTTGATGTCACTCAACTGCTTGTCACAGTAATCTCCCATAGGAGGTGGAAGAAGGCCAGGCAAGTTAAGTGACAAATGGCCCAAGGCCAGAGGCAGAATTAGGATGAGAGTCCAGGCCTCGGGACACCCAGTCCGGCTTCCTTTCTGCTATGGCTGGCACACTGCCTCTCATAAGCCACAGAGAACTAGCATTTTTGAGTCCTTTAGTGCAAATACCCCCTTCTCCCAATGCCCTGGCCTATTGGATTCTTGACTCTGCAGTTTCCCAGATAAACGGTGACTTCTAAATTCGCCATCTCATAAGGCAACCCTGATCCATTTTCCAGACCGGCTAGGGGGTAGAAAAATATTCCATTACCATTCACCGAAGTTATTAAGTACCGGCATAGGAATTCTGGGAGCTGGGAACATATCAGTAAGGCAGAGTCCTTGTGTTCATGGCCCTTGCACTTCCCTTTAATCTTTTTTTTTTTTTGGTTTTTCCCCAAAAATTTTATTATGAAAATTTTTAAGTATATAGAGAAGCTGAGAAATTTATACAGCATTCGCCCATATTATAGGTCTGTCTCATCTTTGAAAAGTGGGCTTTGGGAGGGGTTTCAGTTCTGATTTAGCAGAGTGTCTGGGGGCCACAGTCTCAGGGCTTCCTCCAGTCTCTGTCAGACCAGTGAGTCTGATCTTTTTTTGCAGATTTGAATTTTGTTCTACATTTTTCTCATGCTCTGTCCAGGACTCTCTGTTGTGATCCCTGTCAAGGGATCAGTGGTGGTCGCTGGGCACCATCTAGTTCTTCTGGGTTCAGGCTAGTGGAGGCTCTGGTTCATGTGGTCCTTTGAGTCCTTTGGGTTAATATTTTCCTTGTATCTTTGGTTTTCTTCATTCTCCTTTGCTCCGAATAGGATGGAACCAATAGATGTATCTTAGATGGCTACTCACAAGCTTTTAAGACCCCACACGCTGCACACCAAAGTGGGATGTAAAACATTTTCTTAATGAACTATGTTATGCCAGTTGACCCAGATGGCCCCTGAGACTATGGTCCCCACGCCCCAGCCCCAGATATTCAGTCCCTCAAAGTATTTGGATGTGGCTGGGAAACTTCTATGCTTTTGCTTGGTCCAGTTGTGCTGACTTCCTCTGTATTGTATGTTTTCCTTCCCTTCACCAAAGTTGACACTTGTCAACTATCTAGTTAGTGATTTCCTCTTCTCCTCCCTCCCCACCCTTGTAACCATTAAATAATGCTTTTTTCTGTGCGTAAACCTTTTCTTGAGTTCTTTAATAGTGGTCTCATACAATAGTTGTTCTTTTGTGACTGACTGACTTCACTCAGCGTAATGCCCTCCAGATTCATCCAGGTTGTGAGATGTTGCACGGATTCATCATTGTTTTTCATCATTGTGTAGAGTATTCCATCGTGTATGTGTACCATAATTTGTTTATCCATTCATCTGTTGAAGGACATGTAGGTTGTTTCCATCTTTTTGCTATGTGAATAGTGCTGCAGTGAACATGGCTGTGCATATGTCTATTCATGTGACGACCCTTATTTCTCTAGGGTATATTCCTAGAAGTGGGATTGCTGGATTGTATGATATTTCTATTTCTGGCTTTTTGAGGAAGTGCCATATCGTTTTCCAAAGTGGTCGTACCATTTTACATTTCCACCAGCAGTGCATAAGAGTTCCAGTCTCCCCACAACCTCTCCAACATTTGTTATTTTGTGTTTTTTTGATTAGTGCTAATATTGTTGGCATGAGATGGTATCTCATTGTAGTTTTGATTTGCCTTTCTGTAATGGCTAATGACCTGGAGCATTTCCTCATGTGTCTGTTAGCCACCTGAATGTCTTCTTCGGTGAAGTGTTGGTTCATATCCTTTGCCCATTTTTTATATTGGATTATTTGTCTTTTTGTTGTTGAAGTGTTGGAGTATCTTGTAGATTTTAGAGATTAGAGGCTTGTTGGATGTGTTGTAGCCAAATTTTTTTTCCCAGTCTCTAGGTTCTCTTTTTACTCTTTCGATGAGCATAGTTTTTAATTTTTAGGAGCTCCAAGTTATCTGGTTTCTCTTCTGGTGTTTGTGTATTGTTAGTTATGGTTTGTATTCTGTTTATGCCATATATTAGGGCCCCTAGCATTATCCCTATTTTTTCTTCCGTGATCTTTATCGTTTTAGATTTTATATTTAGGTCTTTAATCCATTTTGAGTTAGTTTTTGTGTATGGTGTGAGGTATGGGTCCGGTTTCTTTTTTTTTTTTTTTTTTCAGATGGACATCCAGTTATGCCAGCACCATTTTTTAAAGAGACTGTCTTTCCCCCCATTTAATGGACTTTGGGGCTTTGTCAAATGTCAGCTGCTCATAGATGGGTGGATTTACGTCTTGGTTCTCACTTCTGTTCCATTGGTCTATGTGTCTGTTGTTGTACCAGTACTAGGCTGTTCCATCTTAGTTTTTGATGCAAAGTAAGTTGCAGACATCAGTGCACTTTACTCCTAAATGCTTCCCTTTAATCTTCATTCACCAAACCTAACTCTGCCCCTTGGAGCAAGACAGAAGCAGTCTCTCCCTCCTCTACATGCTGGCCCTTCAAGTATTTAAAGACATCTCTCTTCTCCCATTTGAACATTCCCAGTTTCTTCAACTTTTCCTCAGATGACATGATTTGTGAAAATACCCTCATCATTTTACCCAGGAGTCCCTGGATTGTGCAAACAGTTAACTTGCTCAGCTGCTAACCGAAAGATCGGAGGTTCAAGTCCACCCAGAGGCACCTTGGAAGAAAGGCCTGGCAATCTACTTCAAAAAAATCGGCCACCGAAAACCCTCTGGAGCACAGTTCTACATGGGGTCGCCATGAGTTGGAGTTGATTCTATGGCAACTGTTTTTTCTAAAAATAATTTTACCCAAGGGATTCTTTATATTTAGCATATTAATGAAAACATGGAAAATTTAGGTAAACAAAAAGAGGAATATAAAAATTACTGACACTCCTACCAGTCAATCCCATTCTCTCAGTCTGTTTTCTATAATTTTTCTCTCTTAAAAACTAGGATAGTTCCATTTTGCAACATGCTACCTTTTTGTCACTTACTAGGGTAGCATGAACATCCTTTCGTGCCATCAGATCTATTTCTACAGTTTTGTTTTAAATGCTTATGTCAGAGTCCACTTAAACCATAATGCAGCCACCTACTTGCCCTCTTGTCAGACAGTAGGTTGTTTCTAACATTTCACCCAGGAAAGCAGTGCTGTAGTGAACATTCTTGCAGCTAAACCTTTGTACAAATCTACAATTGAAAACACAAAGGTATAACTGGCTAAGTGAAAGGATTTATACTTTCCCAAGGCTGTGGATTATATACAGTAAAACCTGCAAAAGCTGGAGCCTGTGTAAGGTGGAAACCTGTCAAAGAAGGAAAACTCAAATATTTTCCACTAAAATGAGAGAGAGAAAAGTGGTAAGACTGCACCCTGTCAAAGGCAGAAAGCTTGCAAGACCCAGAAAAACGTGACAGTCGCATTGAGTTCTGGCTTTCACGGATTTCACCGTGTATTTCCTGATTTCCCTCCTGAGACCTCCAATTGATGGTGTCGTAACCCCCTGCCCGTCTTGGTCCCCTACCCTGGAAGTGCTTCACACGGTCACCGTCCTCTGAGCATAGCACCAGGACTGGGCGCAGTCCCACAGGTGCGGCCTGCCCAGGGCCCCCACTCATTTGCCTGCCCCGAAACTTTGCTCTGTGGGCATAGACAGCTGCTGAGGTTGGAGTGCACGTACACAGCCAGCTCTACCCAGTCAGTGGCTCTGAGCATTGTAGAGTGCTTTAGGCGTGCTCTTTGATGTCCCCAGATGTCTATAACTGTGCTTTCTCCCTCTGTTTAGACCTGGGGCTAGGCGCGCTTAAGGTGCCTAAAGAGGCGGACGAAGGAGGCAGGGCCACCTCTGGGAGTGCCAGGAGAGGAAAGCGGCAGCACAGCTCCCCTCAAAACCCACTCCTGGACTGCAGCCTCTGTGGGAAGGTGTTCAGCAGCGCCAGTTCTCTTAGCAAGCACTACCTGACGCACAGCCAGGAGAGGAAGCACGTTTGCAAAATCTGCAGCAAGGCCTTTAAGCGTCAGGACCACCTGTATGTAGGAGTCTGGTCAGGAGGACATCTGTTCCGGGGGCTGGGGGCGGGGGCGTGTGCCTGTGTTCCCCCTTCCCCATTTTTTTCCTTCTTACCGCCCAGATCCACCTGTCCCATCCCTCTGTTGGGTTTTCCCACTTCCTTATCCCCCAAATGTGTGCAACTTGTGGTTAGAAGTGGATTCAGTTCTTCTTATGCTGCCAGTGCTCCATGGGCGGGTTTGGCATGGCCCTGGAGAGGTCGTCCTTCCAAGCCCCCAAATTCACACCAGTGAGGAAACCACTGCTGTGATTTGCAGATGCAATAGCTCGCTCTCGGGGGCACTTTGAGCATGAAGGAAGTTCGACTAACTTTACAGAGGAATATTCTGGAGCCCTGGTGTAGGTGTCAAGGGAGCCGTGGTGGCACAGTGGTTAAGCACTTGGCTGCTAACCAAAAGATTGGCCCTTTAATTTGAACCCACCAGCCAGTCCATGGGAGAAAGATATGGCAGTCTGCTTTCATAAAGATTGCAGCCTAGGAAACCCTATGGGGCAGTTCTGCCCTGTTCTGTAGGGTCACTATGAGTCAGAATTGACTTGACAGGACGAGTTTGGTTTTTGGTTTGGCAGGGGTCTGGGGAAAACATCATTCCATGAGGGATATGTATCAGGATAACACCGGGCCCAAGAGATTTGGAGACGCTTTTTGTTTCTAGAGCATTCGCTAACTTGATTTTCTTTTTTTAACTCCCTTTTTTTTTTAACTCTGGATTTTAAAAAGGAAGCCCATTATAAGAGTTAGGAGCAAACATCGCTTTTGTTCTTAATGTCTTAGAAATGATAAGCTTTTCTTGCTAATGAGGGAAGGGAAGACAGACTTTTTTCAAAGCAAGAGACTTGAAGGTGGGAGGTGAAAACCCCTAGCATTTTCATAGTGCTCCTGGCTCTCACACAGGGCTCCCATTGGCCCATCTTCATTTCGCCCTCTCCACCACACCCCTCCCCAGGAGAAGGAAGGAAATTGCCCACGTCACAAGCTGGTAACAGAGTTGGGGTTAGAGCTTAGTCTAATTCCTTCTCTGGAGTCCTGGGGTGGTGCAAATGGTTAAACGCTGAACTGCTAACCGAAAGTTTGGTGTTTCGAACCCACCCAGAGGCACCTGGGAAGACAGGCCTGGCAGTCTGCTTCCGAAAGTCACAGCCTTGAAAACCCAATGGAGCACAGTTCTACTCTGACACACATGGGGTTGCCATGAGTCGGAGTCAACTCAGCCGTAACTGACAACAATTCCTCTCTGTTGCTTCCCTCGAGTGGAAGGGCTTTATTATTTATTGTGCATACCCCATGTGCCACGTTTACTAGAATTATCCATGGCAGGCCTGTTAGGAACCCAGAGGGGTGATTTACTCATTCATTTACATTTTAGATATTAATGTTAATACACAAAAGGAGCCCTGTTGGTGTAGTACTTAAGCGCTTGGCTGCTAACCGAAAGGTTAGCGCTTCGAACCCACACAGCATCTTCAGGAGAGAAAGACCTGGTGATCTGCTCCTGTAAAGATTACAGCCTGGGAAACCCTGTGGGGCAGTTCTACTCTGTCACAGGGAGTCACTATGAGTCGGAATCGACTCAGCAGCACCTAACAACAGCAACGTCTATATAAATATTATATAAATATAGTGTATATTGGAGCCCTGGTGGTGCAATGTTTAAGAGCTTGGCTGCTAAACAAAAAGCTCAGCAATTCGAATCCACCAGCCGCTCCTTGGAAACCCTATGGGGCAGTTCTGCTCTGTCCTGTAGGGTTGCTACGAATCAGAATGGAAATGGATATAGTGTATATTTATATTTGCTGAAATTATAGGCACATTTGGCTGTTTTCTAGAAAAAGTTTTACTGATTGGACATCTGGAAATTGGCTTCTCTGCTGTGAGGGTCAAGGTGGCTGCCTCCTTACTGAAGGCATCCTGTGGTAAGGTGTAGACTCCCTCGTTAAAGAAGGGGTAATTCCTCAGTTAGCATTTCCAGTGTAACACATGGGTTGCCATGAGTCGGAATAGACTTGATGGCAACAGGTTTGTTTTTTTAATCTGCAGAACTCTAGTTCTGAGGGATGCTAATAGGAGCAACTTGCAAAAACAGTTTTATGGGCAAATAAGTTTGGGAAACATGGAGCGTTAAACAAAGGTTCCTCTTCTCTGTCGCGTGGTTCTTTAATTGCTAATGTGCATTGGGAACCTCCTAGGAGCGAATAGTGTTTTCAAAACTTATTTGCCAACTGAACTGGAGTCCTCGGAGAGGGGCAGCTCTGGGGACTGATGTTCCTTGGGAGCCCACCTTGGGGAACTCTGGCCTGGCTTCTGTTGATTTTTTCAGAGAGGGGTCTGTTTCAAGGTGAGGGAGAGGAGCTTCCAGTGTGAATTGCTGGGCTGGTAGCAAGGTGGTCTTTCCCAGTGGGGGGCCGATGCCGTGTCTGCACTGTGGTGCGTGTGCTGGCCCCTGGGGACATGCATGGGGCCCTGAGGTGGTGTGGCTGGCCGAGGCACTGCTGACCCCCACCTTTGTGTCTGACTCCAGGACGGGGCACATGCTTACCCACCAGAAGACCAAGCCCTTCGTGTGCATCGAGCAGGGCTGCAGCAAGAGCTACTGCGACTACCGCTCGCTGCGCCGCCACTATGAGGTCCAGCACGGCCTGTGCATCCTGAAGGAGGCCCCTCCAGAAGAGGAGTCCTGCGGGGACTCCCCCCACACCCACGAGATGACCAGCCAGCCGACGCCCGGTGGCCTGCGGGCCCTGGTGCCCCCGGAAGCCAGGTCCCCAGGCTCCCTGCTGCCCAACCGGGACCTCCTGCGCTGCATTGTGAGCAGCATCGTGCACCAGAAGATGCCGGCTCCCGGTCCAGCCCCAGGGATGCCCTCAGACCCCGAGGTGAGGGCTGCGACCTGCCTCTGCCCAGCCTCTGCAGGCTCCTCCACCTACACCCCGGCAAACACCCTGGCGAGCACCCCAGCGGCCCTAGGCACTGAGGGTCCTGAGGAGCCTCGTCCCCTGTGCAAGGAGCCAGGCGGTGTCGATGGGTTTGCAGGCGTCCAGCCACGGGTGGGGGAGAATGGGGCCCCCGATGCCCCCGAGGCAGAGCTGCCTGTCCTCCAGCTCCCAGCCACTCTGGAGGGCTGGCCTGACAGCGGGCCCCTGCCTGCCTGCCTGCCTGTGTTCCGAAGCCAGACCATCCCCTCCAGCTCCCAGCCGTCTGGCCCCAACTTCCAGTGGCTCCGGAACCTGCCAGGCTGCCCCAAGAGCAAAGGCAACAACATGTTCGTTGTTCACAAGCCCCCCACGGCACCGTCCCGGGAGGGCTCAGAGTCCAGCCCAGGGCCCAGCAGTGCCTCCCCTGGGGTGGAGGCCTCGTCCAACTCGGGTGCCAGCCTGGAGGACATGCTGCCCTTCCCTGCCGCGCTCCTGAAGGCTCCTGGGGAAGCCTTGAGTGACACCAGAGGTGCCAGTGGGGAAGACGACACCTGGGCCTCCAAGAAGAGCAAGTCTGAGGGTGACTCCTTGTCATGGCAGAGTTCTGGGGAGCCCGGCCCCCAGGACACCCAGAAAGCAGGTGGGCTCCCGGCAGAGGCCACACCACTCTTCCGGCAGCTCTTCCTGAAGTCGCAGGAGTCATTGGTGAGCCACGAGCAGATGCAGGTGTTCCAGATGATCACCAAGTCTCAGCGCATCTTCTCCCACACCCAGATGGCCACTGCCCAGCTCCCTGGGCCTGAGGCCAAGCCAGCCACCCTGAAGCCGCTGCCCGGGCCATGGCCGCAGCAGCCCCCACCGCTGGTGCCCACTGTGGACTCGCTCCATTCAGGTGCGGAAAACCCGGAGCCAGAGGGGTCCCCAGCCCGCAGGAAGAAGTCCATGCCCACCTGTCCCCGGGAGACCTCCCTGGGCAGCACACGACGGGAGGTGAAGGGAGGACCGAAGGTGGCCACCGCTCAGCCATCCCTCGAGTCCTCAGCTCTGGACCCTTCTGCTAACCCGGAAATCTCTTCTCTGGCTAAGCAGCTGCGATCTGTGAAAGGGTCCTTGGACCTGGGGGACATCATCTCCCCCTCATGCCCGAGGCAGAGCCAGCTAGGGGGCGATGAGGTGCCTGGTGCCCAGCTGCCCGGGAAGCAGGCCCAGGCTGAGAATGGTACAGCCTCAGGGGCCATGAAAGGTGACAAGGGCCTGGCCTGCTCCCGGGGTGCGGGCTACAGGCTCTTCTCGGGCAACCCCAGGAGCCAGCGCTTCTCTGGCTTCCGGAAGGAGAAGGTGAAGATGGATATATGCTGTGCGGCATCACCAAGCCAGGTAGCCATGGCCTCCTTCTCTTCAGCTGGGCCCCTGGCAGACCCCCCGCGGGACACCAAGTCCAAGCTGACCATATTCAACAGAATCCAGGTACCTGTGCTCTGGGCGGGGAGGGGGCTGGCCAGTGCCTGAGTGAGGCCAGAGTTTGATTTGTTGCTTACTTTAGCATTTATTAAGGAGCCCTGGTGGTGTAGTGATTAAGTACTCAGCTGCTAACCGAAAGGTGGGCAGTTCAAACCTGCCAGCGCTCCTCAGAAGAAAGATGTGGCAGTCTGCTTCCGTAAAGATTACAGTCTTGGAAACCCTATGGGACAGTTCTGCTCTGTCCTGTGCAGTTGCTATAAGTTAGAACTGATGGCAACGAGTTTAGCATTTATTTTAGTTGTCCAGGCATTTTGTTTATTTCATCTCACTTAACTCTCAGATGAAATTGTACAGAGGGGGAAATGAAGGCTGAGAGAGATGGTGACTTAAAAAAAATTTTTTTTAATCCCCCATAACAGAGTGAGGACTTTACAGAGTTGTCAGAAACATTGTGTCATTTTGTTATGTCATTAAGCTTTCTTTGCTTGCTTGCTTCTTGCCCTGGGTTTTCTTTTGGATTTGCCTCCTTAAATTCTTCAGAGGACGTAAAGGTAGAGATCCCCCTCCCTTAAATATTCCTGCACAAAATGGCCATATATCTTCTCATTGTTAATCACGGGTCCCACAAGTCTTATTGGGGTCCCACCCTTTGCCTGACCCTGCCCAGTACACTGAGTCCCTTCATATATCGTGCTCTGAGGTCCTGGGCTTGGAGAGGTTTGGCCACTTCCTTTAGTGACATGGGTGGTGAGCTCTCTCGTGACTCCAAGTCCAGCACCTTCTTGCCATCCCACAGCTACCTCTTCTTTTTTAACAAACAGCTTTATTAGTCACATGGAAGGAGCCCTGGTGGCACAGTGGTTAAGTGCTCAGCTGCTAACTGAAAGGTCGGAGGTTTGAACCCACCAGTTGCTTCACAGGAGAAAGATGTGACAGTCTGCTTCTGTAAAGATTACAGCCTTGGAAGCCCTATGGGGCAGGTCTGCTCTGTCCTGCAGGATTGCTATGAGTCGGAATCGACTCAATGGCAATTGGTTTTTTTGGTTATTTACATAGGAGCTCTGGTGGTGCAACAATTAAGCACTCACTGCTAACCAAAAGGTTGACAGTCCACCCATCGACTCCGTGGGAGAAAGACCTGGTGATTTGTTTCTGTAAAGATCACAGACTAGAAAACCCTTTGGGGCAGTGCTACTCTGTCACGTGGGTCGCTATGAGTCAGAATCGACTTGATAGTACCCAACAACAACGTTATTCACCTACCATACAATTTACAGTGAAATGTAAATTTTGTTGTTTTTAGTACATTAGCAGAGTTGTGTGTCCATCACCACAATCAATTTTGGAACATTTCCTCACCCTAAAAAGAAACCCTATACCCCTTAGCTGTTATCCCCCAATACCCTCCCTTTTATCTCCCTCAGTCCCTGGCAGCCACAAATCTACTTTCTGTCTCTATATATTTGCCTATTGTGGACATTTCATATGTGGCCATTTGTGACTGACTTGTTTTCACTCAGCATCACGTTTTCAAGCTTCATCAAAGTGGTAGCATGTATCAGAACTTCACTCCTTTTTATGGCTGCATAATGATGTGGATGTACCACATTTTATTTACTCATTCCTCCATTGATGGACATTTGGGTTCATTCCACTTTTTGGCTGTTATGAATAATGCTGCTATGAACATTCCTGTAAAAGTGTTTGTGGGGACATATGTTTTCATGTCTCTTGAATATATGCCTAGGAGCAGAATTGCTGAATCAGGGTTTTCAAGATGAACTCTCTGTTTAATTTTTTGAGGAACTGCCAGACTGTTTTTCACAGCAGCTGTACCATTTCACATTCCCACCAGCATTGTGTAAGGGTTCCAGTTTCTCCACATCCTCACCAACACTTGCTATTATCTGTATTTATTATTATTATTATTCTAGCCATCCTAGTAGGGGTGAAGGGGTATCTCATTGTGTTTTTGGTTTGCATTTCCCTGATGGCTAATGATGTTGAACATCTTGCTGCCCATCTGTTTGTGTTCTTGGAGAAATATCTATTCAGATCCTTTGCCCTTTTTTTCTTTCTTTCTTTCTTTTTTTTGGTGCTTTAGGTGAAAGTTTACAGCTCAGGTTAATTTCTCATACAAAAATTTATACACATATTGTTATGTGACCCTACTTGCAATCCCTATAATGTGACAGCACACCCCCCCTTTCTATCCCTCATTTTCCATGTCCTTTCAACCAGCTCCTATCCCTTTCTGCCTTCTCATCCCGCTTCTGGACAGGAGCTGCCCATTGTTAGTCTTGTGTATCTACTTAAAATAAGAAGCACACTCCTCACGAGTATTATTTTATGTTTTATAGTCCAGCCTAATCTTTATCTGAAGAATTAGCTTCAGGAATGGTTTTAGTTCTGGGTTAACAGAGAGTCTGGGGGCCATGTCTTCTGGGGTCCCTTCAGTCTCAGATAAGCCATTCAGTCTGGTGTTTGCACTAGAATTTGAGTTCTGCACGCCACTTTTCTTCTGCTCCTTCAGGGGCTCTCTGTTGGGTTCCCTGTCAGGGCGGTCATTGGTGGTAGCCGGGCACCATCTCGTTCTTCTGGTCTTAGGCTGATGGAGTCTCTGGTTTATGTGCCTTTGCCCATTTTTTAATTGGGTTATTTGTCTTTTTATTATTGAGCTATAGGAGTTTTTAAGGTGCCCTGGTGGTGCAATGGTTAAGTGCTCAGCTGCTAACCAAAAGGTCAGTGGTTTGAACCAGCCACTCTGTGGGAGAAAGATGTGGCAGTCTGCTCCCATAAAGGTTACAGATTTGGAAACCCTGTGGGGCAGTTCTACTCTGCCTGTTGGGTTGCTATGAGTCAGAATCGACTCTATAGCAGTGGGTTTGGTTTGGTAAGAGTTCTTTATATATTCTGGATACAAGTCCCTTATCAGGTATGTTGCTGTTGTTAGGTGCTGTCGAGTTGACTTTTGACTCATAGTGACCCCACGTGTCAGAGTAGAACTACCCTGTGGGATTTTCTTGGCTGTAATCTTTATGAAAGAAACCCTGGTGGCGTAGTGGTTAAGAGTTTGGCTGCTAACCAAGAGGTTGGCAGTTCGAATCCACCAGGCGCTCTTTGGAAACACTATGAGGCAGTTCTACTCTGTCCTGTAGAGTCACTATGAGTCCAAGTCGACTTGACAGCAACGGGTTTTAATCTTTATGGAAGCAGATCGCCAGGTCTTGCTCCCATGGAGCCGATGGGTGGGTTTAAACCACCAGCCTTTTGGTTAGCAACTAAGTACTTAGCTTTTGCGCCACCAGGGCTCCTTTAGAATTAGCAAAATTTGTCACCCATTCTGTGGCTTGTCACTTTCTTGTTGGTGTTCTTTGAATCACAGAAATTTTTAATTTTGATGATGTCCAGTTCATCTATTGTGTGTGTGTGGGTGTGTGCGTGCTTTGATGTCATCTAAGAAACCATTGCCTAATCCAAAGTCACGAAGAATCACACCTACATTTTCTTCTAAGAGTTTGATAGTTTTACTCTTCCATGCCCTTTCATTTCTGGTGTTAGCTCAGCTGTCCTCTCATCCTCAGGGTGGAAATATCTACAGGCTCCCTCATCCGGTGAAGGAAGAGAGTGCAGCGGGTGGATGGTAAGTGAAGTCGTCCTGACTGCCGCTCAGGAGTGCCCTTGTGGCTTTCGTGTGTTGGCCCTGGTGAGTGAGCTCTGGGTGCTTTCAGTCCTGAGAAGTGTGGGCCGGGCCATAAAGCGCTGGGGGCTCAGCCTGCGTTCCTTAGGGTTTATCAGGAGTCTTCAGGGAGCCAGACTTCAACAACAACAAAAGCCCAGTGATCGGGGGCAGAGTCCCATCCTACCATTCTCCCCTCCCGCCACATCTACCCACAGTGACCAGCAAAACGGGAGTCCTGCCGACCGGACAGAGCCAAGGAACACTCACGTCTGCAAGAACTGCAGCCAGATGTTTTACACCGAGAAGGGCCTGAGCAGCCACTTGTGTTTCCACAGCGACCAGTGGCCGTCACCGCCTGGGAAGCAGGAGCAGCAGGTGAAGGGGTGCGGGCAGCAGGTTCTCTGGGGATGGGGTTTCCAGCAGACTGGGGGAGTAAATGCCTCGAGGTTTGCGCCAGCTTTTCTGACCATCCTTGTGAGCAGCTCTTATTTTCTGCAACTACTATTTTTCTCGGAATCCCTGGGTGGTGAAAATGGTTAATGTGCTTAGCTGCTAACCAAAAGGTTGGAGTTTTGAGTCCACCGAGAGATGCCTCTGAAAAAAGGCCCGGTGATCTACTGAAAAATCAGCCACTGGAAACCCTGTGGAGCACAGTTCTACTCTGATGCACATGGCATTTCTGGGAGTCCAAATCAGCTGGACTGGTTAGTGGTTATAGTTTCTCTTTAAGAGCTGTCTGTTCTCCACGTCTAGGTGTTCGGCTCGGAGTTTTGCAAGCCACCGAGACAGGTGCTGAGGCCAGATGGGGATGGGCAGAGTCCCCCAGGGGCCAAGAAGTCCGTGGACAATGCAGCAGCAGCCCCTCTGGTGATCCCTGTGTCAGTACCTGTGGCCCCAGGGACCCGGCTCCCAGGGAGCGGAGCCAAGGTGGGTATAGATGCTTCTCCTGCTCTCACCACCTGTTGATGGAAGCTGTGGGGAAAACCCAAACCAAATACCAACAAAAGTCCTGACTCTAGAAGGTGGTTTACTCATTCATTCATTCAACATTCACTGAGTTTCCTCTGTGCTCAGCACTGTGCTAGGCAGTATTGGGGATATAGCCGTGACCATGACAGCCTGGTCCTGCCCTCTCAGGGTTCCCAGTTGAGTGGGGGGAGTTGAGGGAACTCAGATGGGCACCTAACCCAGCCTGAGGAAGTCAGGGAGGGCTTCCTGGAGGAGGGGACATCGGAGCTGAGACATGGAGGATGAAGACGAGGGAGCCTGGCAGAGGGGAGGGGAGATTGCTTGGAGGTGAGCCAGAGCATTGCAGGTTCAAGGAATGGGTCTTGTGGGACTTATCTCTTCAGCTAGTACTGGAGGACACCCCGCCCGCCCTGCCACGAGAGGATCATGCTGGGCTTGGGGACAGAGTACGTGGACCTGAAGGTTGCCTGAGTCCGTGATTGAGTCCTGTTGTTTGTCTCACAGGAGCTGTTATCATTTTGTCGCTTCCACTGTATCCCCGGTCCCCACTTCTTACGTGTCAGTCATTGTAACAACTGATACTGTCCTTTCACAGTTCCAGAATCCTCCGAGTTGGGGCCCCTCCTGGGGGCATGGGTGTATGTGCAGGCTGCAGCCTTGAATGTCCCCAGGCACAGAGTCCCGGGCCTGCCTCCGGCCTGGTCGCCCTGGACAGTGCGCCGTGGACCCTCCTCAGCCTCCTTGCCGCAGGCTCCTGGCATACAGGCTTGGTGTGTGGGTCAGATTCCCTCTGTCTCCATGGTCAGAGCCCCTCACCCCTCTGGTGCCATCGCCAAGACTGAGCAGTGCACTGGGTGGCCACGTGACCACCTGCAATCCCGAACGCTCTTCTCCAGGGACAAGAGAAAGACGGGGAGGAGAGAGACAGCAAGGAGAGCAGCCAACACAGAAAGCGGAAGAAGCGCCCCCAACCCAAGACACTGTTCATCCCTCCTCCACCCTCCACGTTTGGGGAGCCAGGCCCTGGAGGGTGCCACCAGAGCTGCCTGCGGTCCCCAGTGTTCCTGGTGGACCAGCTCCTGAAGGGCCTATTCCAGTGCTCCCCCTACACGCCGCCCCCCATGCTCAGCCCCATCCGGGAGGGCTCAGGGTTGTACTTCAATACCCTCTGTTCCACAGCAGCGCAGGCTGGCCCCGACAAGCTCTTCAACACTGTGCTTGGTGAGTGAGGCTGCCCCCCTCTCTGGATGCATCACGTGGTGGGTCTCCTGTGCACAGATGCCCACCCCCCTGTAGCGTTTGGTCTAGCAATTCTCTCTGACCTGTAGGTGTGCCTGGTCTGAGGGTCCAATAGCTGTTCAGAGGTATCCCAGGACAGTTCTGGGACCAGCAGCCTTGTAGGTGCTTAGAGTTTTACAGCTGGAAAGAAAATATAGAGACCATTTAGCCTGACCACCCTTCTGCCCTTCTATGTGATTTTTTGAATAGCGTTTTTGAGATATAATTCATCTACCATGCAAGTCACCCACTTAAAGTGTACAAATCAATGTTTTTTTAGTATATTCACAGGGTTGTACACCCACCCATCACCACAATCTAACTTTAGAGCAATTTGATCACTCCAAAAAGAAGCATCACCCTCATTAGCAGACACCTGTCCATCCTCCTATATCCTCAACTCCTGGCAACGTTGAATCTGCTTTCTGTCTCTATAGATTTACCTATTCTGGACATTTTATATAAATGGAATCAGACAATATGTGGCCTTTTGTGTCTTGACTTCTTTCATTCAGCATCATGTTTTCTAGGTTCATTCATGCTGTAGCATGTATTAGTATTTCATTCCTTTCTATAGTTGAATAAAAAGATGCTTTAGCTGCATCTCCTAAGTTTTAATATGCTGTGTTTTTAATCTTCATTCCTCAAAGTATTTTTAAATTTCTCTTATGATTTCTTTTTTGATGCATTGATTATTTAGGAGTATATTGTTGAATTTCTACAGATTAGTGGATTTTCCAAATTTCCTTCTGTAATTAATTTCTAATTTAATTCCATTGTGGCCACAGAACTGACTATGTTTTATGGCCAAGGAGCCCTGGTGGCGCAGTGGTTAAAGTGATTGACTGCTAACTGAAAGGTCAGCATTTTGAAACCACCAGCGGCTCCATGGGAGAAAGATGTGGCAATCTGCTTCCATAGAGATTTACAGCCTGTGGGGTCGCTATAAGTCGGAATTGACTCAACGGCAGTGGGTTTGGTTTTGGCTAGTTTAATGGCCTAGGATAATACAGTCTGTCCTGGAGAATGTTCCATGTGCTCTTAAGAAGAATATATATTCTACTGATGTTGGGTGAAATGTTCTATAGATGTCTGTTAGATCTCATTGATTTTATAGAATTACTCAAGTCTTCTATTTCTTGATTGATCTGCCTAGTTGTTCTTTCCGTTATTGAAAGTATTGAAATTTACAACTATTATTGTTCAGTTGTCTGTCTCACCCTTCAATTCTGTCAGTTTTTGCTTCATATATTTTGGGACTTTGTTAGATGCATTTATATTTATAATTGTTATTTGTATCTGATGATCTAACCCCTTTATCATTATGATGTTTCTCTTTATCTCCAGTAATATTTTTTAAAGTCTAATTTGTCTAATATTAGTATAGCCTTTTCTGATTGTTGTTTGCATAATATATCTTTTCCTGTTCTTTTATGTTCAACCTATATGTATCTTTGAATCTAAATTGTCTCCTATAGACAGCATTAGTTGGATCATTTTTTTTTTTGTTCATCCAATCTGACAGTCACTGTCTGTTGATTGGATTGTTTAATCAATTTATATTTAATTTTATTATTGATATGGTTGGGTTTATAGCTGCCATTTTGCTTTTTGTTTTTTTTGTCTTATGTCTTTGTCTTTTTTCCCCCGTCCTTCCTTTACTGCTTTCTTTTGCATTAAGTGATTATTTTCTAGTGAGACATTTTAATTCCTTTAATGATCTTTTCACTGTTTTTTAAGTCATCTTCTTAGTGGTTGCTCTACGGTTAACAGTATACATCTTTAAAATCTGCTTCAGATTTGTACTAAATTACAGTGAGATATAAAAACATTACACAGCCACCACCTGTCTATCAGCGGAGGCTTGCGGGTTGCTGTGATGCTGACCAGGTTTCTGCAGAGCTTCTAGACTAAGACAGGAGGAAGAAAGGCCTAGCGATCTACTTCCAAAAAATCAGCCAGTGAAAACCCTTCGGATCACCATAGTCCAATCCTGTTGTGCATGGGGTTGCCATGAGTCGGGGGCCAGCTCAGTGGCAGCTAACAATAACAATGAAACAATATGCCTGTAGAGCTTTGTTCTGTCTCCCCTCCCTCTTGTAAAAAAATTTTTGTTGTGCTTTAGGTGAAACTTTACAGCGCAAATTAGTTTCTCATTCAGAATTTATACATGAATTGTTTTGTGACATTGGTTGCAATCCCCACAACAGTGCACTCTCCCTTTCCACCCTGGGTTCCCTTTGTCCATGCATCCAGTTTTCCTGTCCCTCCCTGCCTTCTCATCTTTGCTTTTGCACACCACAGGTGTTGCCCATTTGGTCTCATATACTTGACGTTGCTTACGTGTGTCATTGTTTGTTTTATAGGCCTGTCTAATCTTTGGCTGAAAGATGGACTTTGGGAGTGGCTTCAGTTCTGAGTTAGCAGGGTGTCCAGGGGCCATAGTCTCAGGGGTTCCTCCAGTCTCTGTCAGACCAGTAAGTCTGGTCTTTTTTGTGAATTTGAATTTTGTTCTCCATTTTTCTCCTGCTCTGTCTGGGACCCTCTATTGTGATCCCTGTCAGAGCGGTTGGTGATGGTAGCTGGGCACCATCTAGTTCTTCTGGACTCAGGCTAGTGGATGTTGTTGTTCATGTGGTCCATTAGTCCTCTGGACTGATATTTTCCTTGTGTGTTTCGTTTTCTGTATTCTGCTTTGCTCCAGATGAGATGGGACCAATAGATGTATCTTAGATGGCCACCCACAAACTTTTAAGACTCCAGATGCTACTCACCAAAGTAGGATGTAGAACATTTTCTTTATGAACTATATTATGCGAATTGACCTAGATGTCCTCTTAGACCATAGTCCCCAGCCCTCAGCCCCAGTAACTCGGTCCCTCAAGGTATTTGAATGTGTCTAGGAAGCTTCTATGACTTCGCCTTCATCAGGTTATACTGACCTCCCCTATATCGTGTACATCTTCCCCTTCACCAAAGTTGGCGCTTGTCTACTGTCTAGTTAGTATTTTTCCTCCCCATCCCTCCCCACCATCATAACCATCAAAGATTGTTTCTTTCTTTCTGTGCGTAAACCTTTTCTTGAGTTTTTATAATAGTGGTCTCATACAATATTTGTCCTTTTGTGATTGACTTATTTCACTCAGCATAATGCCCTCCAGATTCATCAATTTTATGAGATGTTTTGCGCATTCATCACTGTTCTTTATCGTTTTGTAGTATTTCATTGTGTGTATGTACCATAATTTGTTTGTTCATTCATCTGTTGTTGGACATTTAGGTTATTTCCATCTTTTTGCTTTTGTAAATAATGCTGCAGTGAACATGAGGGTGCATATATGTCTATTTATGTGATGGCTCTTATTTCTCTAGGATATATTTCCAGGAGTGGGATTGCTGGATCATATGATATTTCTATTTCTACTTTTTTAAGGAGGCACCATAATGTTTTCCAAAGTGGACCTCTTCCCCTTTTTGGTGTTACTATTTTTATATACATTGCATCTATATATATTTGAAACCCAACAGTACATTGTTAAGATTGCTGTTCTTGTTAGGTGCCATTGAGTAGATTTCATCTCAGAGGGACCCCACGTGACATAGTAGAACTGCTCCATAGGGTTTTCTGGGCTGAAATCTTTATGGGAGCAGGTTGCCAGGTCTTTCTCTCATGGAACTGTTGGGTGGGTTTGCACTGCAAATCTTTGGTTAGCAACTGAGTGCTTAACTGTTGCACAGCCAGGGCTCCTTGTCATAATTATTACTTCATGTGATTTTATGTCATTTAAAAAAGCGGATAAAGGAGAGCAAGCATGTATTTATGTTGTTATTGTTGTTGCGTGCTGTTAAGTTGATTCTGACTCATATATTTACAGTTTGTTATATCCACCTTCTTATTTACCATTTTTGGTACTCTTCATCTGCTCCTGTGGATTCAAGTTACCATCTGGTGTCATTTCTTTACTCCAGTACAGCTTTGTTCCCATTTGCCTCTTCTGTGCTATTACTGTCAAATACATTACATTTCTATATGTTAGAAGGCCACAATACATACTGTTTTGTGCAATTGCTTTTTAAATAATTTAAGAGAATGAAAGACAAGAAATGTAATTATAGTGTCTTTTGTAATTACCTACATAATTACATTCACCACTGCTCTTTGTTTTTGTTTTTTTTTTCCAAGTAGTTTCAAATTACTGTCTGGCATCACTAGCTTTCATCCTAGAGAACTTTTTTTTTTTTTTAACTATTTTTTAAGATTAGCCTTATTGAGATATAATTCATATGCTATACAATTCATCCCTTTAAAGTGTACAATTCAATGGTTTTTAGTATATTCACAGAGTTGTACAACTTCCACCACCACAATCAATTTTAGTACATTTTCGTCACTCCAAAAGAAAATCCCATACTCATCAGCAGTCACTCCTATTCCTGCCTTCCCCTGCCCTAGGTAACCAATAATCTACTTTCTGTTTCTATGGATTTGTCTATTCTGAACATTTGTATAAATTGAGTCATACGGTATGTGGTCCTTTGTGTCTGGTTTCTTTTACTTAGCATAATGTTTCTATGGTTCATCCACGTTGGGAGCATATATCAATACTTCATTCCATTTTATTGCCAAATAATTTTGCATCTTTACTGTTTCTTGTAAGGTAAGACTGCTAGCAATAAATTCTCTAAACTTTTCTTTTTCTGGGAATGTCTTTATTTCACTTCCATTATTGAAAGATAGTTTGTTGAGTATAAGATTCTTGGTTGACAGTTTTTACTTGCAGCCCTTTGAATATGTCATCCCACTGCCTTCTGACCGCCATTGTTTCTTCTGAGAAGTCAGCTATTGATCTTGTTGGAGTTCTCTTGTACGTGATGAGTTGTGTTCCTCTTACTACTTTTTATCTTTATCTTTGACTTTCCACATTTTGACTATGATGTGTCTGGATTTGGATCTTTTTGTGTTTATCCTATTTGGAGTTTATGGAGCTTTTTGGATGTGTAGATTAATGATATTTATCAAATTTGGGAAGTTTTCGGCCATTATTTCTTCAAAAAAATTTTTTTATCCCTTTCTTTCTTCTCTCCCCCTGATTTCCCATTACATGTGTACTGGTGTGCTTGATGGTGTCCCACGTTTCTTTTTTTTTTTTTGCATATTATGTTTTAGGTGAAAGTTTACACAGCAAATTAGGTTTCCATTAAAAAAATTTTGTACAGATTGTTAAGTGACATTGGTTACAATTTTTGCAGTGTGTCAGCATTCTTAACTATTTCCATTCTGTTTGTTCGGTTTCCATTTGTCTAGGTTTTCTGCCCCTCCTTGCCTTCTCATATTTGCTTTTGGGTAAATGTTGACTGTTTGGTCTCATATAGTTGATTGTTTAAGGAAGCACATTCCTCATGGGTAATACTGTTTATTTTATAAGCCAGTGTATTATTTGGCTGAAAGGACACTTCGGGAGTGGCTTCAGTTCCAAGTTAAAAAAGGGTATCTTAGGGTGATAGTCTCAGGTTCCGCTAGCCTCTTATCAGTCCAGTAAGTGTGGTCTTTTTTAGAAATTTGAGTTTCATTCTATATTTTTCTCTCATTCTACCCAGGACCTTCTTTTGTGTCCCTGGTCAGAACAGTTGGTCATGGTAGCAAGGCACTGTCTAGTTCTTCTGCTCTCATGCTGTAAGGGGCAGTGGTTGATGTGGGCTGTTAGTCCTGTGGACTGGTTTCTTCTTTGATCTTTGGTTTCCTTCACTCTTCTTTGCTCCAGACAGGAAGAGACCAATAGTATCTTATATGGCTGCTTGCAGGCTTTCAAGACCCCAAAAGCTACTAACCAAAGTAGGATTAGAACATTATCTTTATGAACTATGTTATGCCAGTTGACTGAGTTGTCCCACGAGAGTATCATCCTAAGCCCTTTAACCCAGTAAACCAATCCTGTGAGGTGTTTGAATATGTCTAGGAGGTCTCTGTAACTCTGCCCCCTATGTGCTTTGTTATATATATATGAACGTATATGTAGCACATCCAAACATGTATATTCTTATTCCTACAAATATATCTATATATGCACATACGTGTATTCACATATACCTTCCTATACACATGTAGCAAACATGTCTGCCTCTATACCACACACATATTTTGTTGGTTGTTACTATTGTTGTTGTAAAACTATACATTATAACATTTACTGTAATTGTCCTTTATTCTTGCGTACCTCTCAGTGTCTTAATTTACCTTGGTCAAGTTATGTTGACTTCCCCTATATTGTGTATTGCCTTTTGCATCACCAGAAATAACAGATGTCTACTATCTAGCAAGTGATTCCCCCATTTCCTCCTCCCACCCCTGGTAACCGTCAAAGAACATTGTTTTTTGTGTGCATCCCTATTCTTGACTTTTTATAAACGTGAGACCATACAATATCTTTCCTTTTGTGATTGATGTATTTCACTCAGCATAATGTCCTCCAGATTCGTCCATGTTATAAGATGTTTTGCGGACTCATCATTGTTCTTTACAGTTGTATAGTATTCCATTGTAGGTATGTACCGTGATTTGTTTATCCGTTCATCTGTTGATGGGCACTTAGGTTGTTTCCATCTTATTGCTATTGTGTGAATGATGCTGCAATGAACATGGGTGGGTTTATCTCTGTCTGTGTTACTGCTCTTATATCTCTAGGGTATATACCGAGGGATGGGATTGCTGGATCATACGGTATTTCTATTTCTAGCTTTTTGAGGAAGTGCCGTACTGTTTTCCATAGTGGTTGTACCATTTTATAGTCCTACCAGCAGTGTGTAAGAGTTCCAATCTCCCCACAACCTCACCAGCATTTGTTGTTTTCTGTTTTTCTGATCAGTGCCATTTTTGCAGGGTTAAGATGGTATCTCATTGTAGTTTTTATTTGCATCTCTCTAATAATGGCTAATGATTGTGAGCATCTCTTCTTGTGTTTCTTAGCTGCCTAAATGTCCTCTTTGATGAAGTGTCTGTTCATGTCCTTCGCCTATTTTTTTATTGGATTGTTTCGTCTTTTTGTTGTTGAGTTGTTGAAGTATTCTGTGTATTTTAGAGATTAGATCCTTGTCAGGTACATTGTTGCCAAAGATTTTTTCCCAGTCTGTAGGTTCTCTTTTTGCTTTTTTGGTAAAATCTTTTTTGATAAGCATAATATTTAATTTTAATTTTTGGGAAATTTTCAGGCATTATTTCTTCAAATATTTTTTTCTGTCACTTTCTTTCTCCTCTCCTTCTGATTTCCCATTACATGTATATTGGTGTGCTTGATGGTGTCCCACATTTTTCTGAGGATCTGTTTATTTTTCTTCATTCTTTTTTCTCTCTGTTCTTCAAATTGCATAATCTGTATTGGTATATCTTCAGGTTTGCTGGTTATTTCTTCTGTAAGCTCAAATCTACTGTTGAGCCCCTCTAGTGAATTTTTTCATTTTGGTCATTATACTTTTTAACTGCAGATTTTCCTTCCGGTTCTTTCTTTATAATTTCTATCTTTGTATTGATATTCTGTATTTGACGAGACATTGTCACTTTAACTCACTTCACTTCAATAAGCATGGTTACCTTTAGTTCTCTGAACGTATTTATAATAGCTGCTTTGAAGTGTTTGTTAAGTCTAACATCTGGGCCCCTTCAAAAGCATTTTCTATTGCTTGCTTTTTTTCCCTCTGTGTATGGGTCACACTTTCCTATTTATTTGCATAGCCCATATTTTTTTGTTACAAACTGGTCATTTTAGATAATATATTGTAGCAGTTTTGAATATCGATATCCTCTCCGTGGGAATTTTGTTGTTGTTGTTTGTTTGGTCTTTTGTTTCTTTGTTTATTACTTCGGCTGAACTAATTCTGCAAAGTCTATTTCCCCCATAGTGTACATCCTCTGATATTCATGCTCAGATTTCCCCACTTCTTTTTATCTTTTAGCCTGGCTCCTAGGGTTTGCCCCCAGGTAAGCATAAGCAATTTATCGTTCTGAGGTAGTACTTAAGTCTCCTTGGCCAGTCAGATTTTTACCCTTTATCATTGGATGTGTGTGTGGCTTGGAGGCTCCTGTCACAGGTCAGGGGTATTACGTTTTTGGCCCACATTCAGCCAGGGACTAGTATCTTGGTGGCTCCCTCTCTCCTGAGTGGGCCTTAGACATACACTTAGTGCTCTAGACTGCCAAGGAGCCATGTGATTTTATTGTTAAGCCTGGCTTCCTAGAAATTGCATCTGGCTGGAGTAGCTTATTGTATATTCAGTTTTTGGCCAGAGGTCGCGTGTAAGCCCTCTGTGCCGGCGAGGCTTCTGCCCAGTGTTGATAGTCTGTGTGCAGTTTAGGGGAAGCTTTCCCATCTGCTTACATCCTGCTCTGATGGCTCCTGAGTAGTGCAGCCCAGTGCATGCGCCCAGCTTTCCGGACCCCCAGGGCTGACTGTGGCCCCAGGAGGCCTCTTCTTGGCTGTCTCTTTCCCTGGTTCTCCATTAAACTTGCAGCTGCTCTGCCATTTTGTGGTATCATGGCACTACCAGCTTCCTCTTAATTGCACTCCACCAGGATCTCCATTGTTTTCAACAATGCCCTTTGGCATGGAGTTCTCCACACTCTGTACCAAATAAAGGCAGTTGTTTGAGGCAGAGCTGTGGAGCTTTTGATCCTTATGACCTACTTTCCCCTGGATGGAGTCCTCCAACACTTCACTGGAGCTGGGGGCAGGGACTTTTCTCAGAGGAGCCCCTCCCTGCCTCTGTGAGTAGATACTGGGTGGGAGTGGTAGCCCCTGGTCCTCTCAGTTTGCCCCTTCTAGCATGGAACCTCTACCCTATGAATGAGCTTGGACAGGGACAATTGGGGTCCCAGTATTCTCAGCCATTCATGCCTGAGGTAGCTCTTCCACCATGAGAGTGGAGGCTGGATTGGTGAAGAGTCCCCAAGTCCTCTAAGCTACATGTGCTTGGACTAGAGTTTCTGTAATATGAGGCTGGGGAGTGAGAAACACCACCAGCAGCCTGCTTCTCCTGGGGTGAAGCCATAGCCCTAGACTGGGAGATGGGCAGAAAGAGCCCTATCTCCTTGGCCACACATACCTAGGGTAGAGCCCTCAGGGTTGAACTTCTGTGATATGGAGCTGAGGGTAAGGGAGCAGGTCCTGGCTCAAAGGCCACAGACTCTCGCTGTTCTTACTGGGATTCAGTGGATACTCTTAAATGAGTATTTCTCTATTTGCTGAATGCCCTTAGGGCAATTTCCAGAGACTTGAAATTATTTTTTATCATTTTCAGCAGTTGTTGTTTTGGTGGGAAGAGGGTCTGCAGAGCTCCCTGCTCTGCCATTTCAGAAGCTCCACCCTCCTCTATTACATGTGATTTTAAAGAGCCTACTGTCAGCTGTGTCCACTAAGGCAGGCAGAAGGGGCCTGTGGATCCTTGTGAGCCAGACTCCTTGAGGCTCTTCCTTGGATGTTTTCTAGATCCAGTGGATGGTTCTTTTGGCATCTGTGTGGTGAAGGACAACACCAAGATCAGCATTGAACCGTGAGTGGAGCAGACTTACAGCCTGAGAGTCCTCCCCAAAGTGGGGTGATTTCACCCCCCCCCTTGGATTCCAGTATCAGTTTTTCCCAAGGTCCCCTTCATCACAGGGGGTCAGGTCCAGCAGCAGAGCCTTCCTAGCAGGGAAGCAAGAGGTTTCTCTCGGGTACATGCAGGGAGTCCCTGCAGTATTTCTTCTGTCCAGATATAACATGGTTGGGCTCATGGGAGCAGAACGCCCCAGACCCTGGGGCTCTAACAGAATCAGTGATGGCTCTGCGCAAGACTTGTGAGCCACATAGAATGTGGCTAGACGAGTGTGGCCCTGGATGTAGAAATGTGCCAGATACTAGCGTGTGCTTCCCGTCATGGGCCCTAAAAGAGATGCCTGAAGGACGTATCCCTGGAGAGGCTTCTGAAACACCCGCACATGTCTGTCAGCTGTGAGGCATGCCTGGAGTGTCTGAGATACCCCATAACGGAGGGGTGCTGCCTGAGAGCAGGTACACGGAGCATCCCATCTCTTTTTTAAAAAATAATGTTTTTTCAGTGAAGGTTTACACAGCAGTTTAAGTTCCCATTCAGTAATTTCTACACAAGTTGTTCAGTGACATTGGTTACATTCTTCACAATATGTGAACATTCTCATCATTTCTGTTCTGGTTGTCCTGCTTCCATCAATCTTGTTTCCCTGCCCCCTTATGTTCTCATCTTTGTTTTAAAGTCATTGTTGACCATTTGGTCTCATACAGGTGATTTTTTAATGAATATCACCTCATATAGAGTGATATTCATTGTTTCTTGAGCCAATGTGTTATTAGCTACAAGGTGACCTCAGAGGTTAGTTTTGGTTCAAGATCTGAATATTATTTCAGGGCAGTAGCCTCGGGGAGTCCTCTAGTCTCAACTGGTCCAGTAAGTGTTTTGGTGGGAATTTTTTTTTTTAGGAGTTTGAGGTTCTAGTCCACATTTTTCTCCATTCTGTCAGGGTCCAACTATTGTGGCCCTGATCAGGATGATTGGTAGTGGTAGCTGAGCACCATCTAGTTCTTCTGGTCTCAGGTTAGTTGAAGCTGCGGTTCATGTAGACTGTTTGTCCTGTAGACTAGTTTCTTCTTTGAGGGAATACCCCATCTTATCCCCCGTCTGAGTCATAATGGTGTCTCCTGTGTGTCTGTGTGTGGCCACATTTCAGACACATCAACATAGGAAGCCGGTTTCAGGCTGAGATCCCGGAGCTCCAGGAGAGGTCTCTGGCTGACACTGATGAACACGTAGCCGCTCTGGTCTGGAAGCCGTGGGGAGACGTGATGACCAACCCGGAAACGCAGGATCGAGGTGGCTGAGGCTCAGGGGTCAGATTCCCGCCTCCAGGGAGCTTCTCCTCCCAGTTCTTGCCTTGACCAAGAAGCAGTGTCCCCTGGTGGCCGTTGGCCTCGTCCCAGTATTGCCGCTCCCATGCGGCGCTCCCTGCCCCTGCGTCTCTTCTCACGCAGTAGCTGGTCAGTGTCCAGAGCAGGTGACAGGACCACCTTCCTCTTTGTCCTCCCTTCACTGAACGCGCCTCACCTGCAATGTGAGAGCGAGCAGGTGAAAGGAGGCCCCCCATCCCTGGTGGTGCAAATAGTTAACATACTCAGCTGCTAACTGAAAGGTTGGCGATTCGAGAAGAGAGGCCAGGCAGTCTGCTTCTGAAAAATCAGCCCTTGAAAACCCTGTGGAGCACAGTTCTACTCTGCCACGTATGGGGTCGCTGTGCATCGGGGTCGGCTGGATGGCAGCTGGGTTTTGTTTTTTATAGATGAGAAATACAAATATGCTCCAGCAAACCTGCACAAGTAGAGGAAGGAAAAGGGTGAAATAGTGCCAGAGAGTACAAATAGTAAACACGAAATAAGAAGGAGCAATACAAACAGTATATAAATAATAAGTGCAAGTGGATTTAATTCACTTGTTTAAAGACACAGACTTTCAGACTGTATATAGTCATTAACAAATTAAATCATGAAGTATACTATAGAGGAGTAGACTCAGTGTAGGAGTCCCATACCTGCTGCTCATAGCGACTCATAGCAACCCTATAGGACAGAGTAGAACTGCCCCACAGGGTTTCCAGGGCTGTAATCTTTACGGAAGCAGACTGCCACATCTTTCTACCTCGGAGCAGCTGGTGGGTTTGAACCACCAACCTTTCAGTTAGCAGCCAAGGCTTAACCACGGCGCCACCAGGGCTCACTTATAGGAGTCCCAGGGTGGTGCATGCAGTTAAAAACCAGCCCTTGAAAACCTTATGGAGTACAGTTCTACCCTGTCACACATGGGGTCGCCATGAGTCGGAGTTGACTGGAAGGCATTGAGTTTTCTCTGTGTGGTCTGGGAAGGTTTCCTCCCTTGCTCGCACTTGCTCACTCTTTTGCGTCTCCTCTTCCTCCCACCTTGCTGGGGCGGCTTGCTCATCGTGGACACAGTGACGGAGCTCTGCAACGTGGCCTGCTCCAGCGTGATGCCAGGAGGGGGCACCAACCTGGAACTCGCGCTGCACTGCCTGCACGAAGCCCGGGGCAATGTCCAGGTAAGGCCGGGCGGGGGTGTGCTGGCTCAGAGGAGCCTTGAGGGGATTCCTGCTCTCTGCAGCGGGGCTTCCAGATGCAGGCTGTGTGCCATCTGCTTGGGGGCTTACAGCTACTGAAAAGTAAAGTAGGGTCACCCATCCTTCTCCCCAATGGCCTCTGGATTAACCTTAGTGAGCTGCAGGAGAAATGCTCAGATACGGGCTCACTTGAGATCAGCTTGGCGGTTTTATCCCATCAACAGCCCTGCGGGAGGAAAACTTGGCAGTCTGCTCCCATAAAGATTACAGTTTAGAAAACCCTATGAGGCCGTTCTACTCTGTCACATGGGGTCGCTATGAGTCAGAATCAACTCGAAGGCAACAAAACCTTTTTTTAAATAATTTTTTTTTGTGTTTTCGGTGAAAGTTTACAAAGCAAATTAGGTTCCCATTTAACAATTGTCTACACAAATTGTGACATTGGTTACATTTTAACACTGTGTCAACATTCTCATCATTGCCATTCAGGTTGTTCCTTTTCCAGTAATCTAGTTTCCCTAACCCCCTTACCTTCTCATCTTTGCTTTAAAGCAACTGTTGACCATTTGGTCACGCACAGATGATTTTTAAAGGAACACAGGGCTCACAGGTGATATTCTTTGTTTTATGAGCCAGTCTGTTATTTAGCTAAGAGGTGACTTCAGGGATAGTTTCAGTTCAAGGTTTAAAGGGTATTTAAGGGCAGTAGTCTTGGGAGTCCTCCAGTCTCAGCTGGTCCAGTAAGTCTGGACTTTTAAAGAATTTGAGCTCTGTTCCACGTCTTTCTCCCATTCTGTCAGTGTCCATCTACTGTGGCCCTGATCAGAACAGTCGGTAGTGGTAGCTGAGCACCTTCTAGTTCTTCTGATCTCAGGGTAGATGAGATTGTGGTTCATGTAGACTATTTGTCCTGTAGACGAGTTCCCTGCGCTCAGCTTAATGCTCTGCTGAAATTCTTAACATTTGAACAAGGGACCCCACATTTTCATTTTGCACTGGGCCCCTCAAACTACGTAGCCAGTCCTAACTGGAGTTAGACTGGTGAGCAAGATAAAACCCCTGCCCTCATGGGGCTTACATTTTAGGAGGGGAGTCAAAACAGGAAAAATGTAAAATAATAATATATTGTTAGGTAACAATTAATGTTATAAAGAAACTGAAATGGGGCAGAGGCAAGGGTAGTGCTATGCTGATGAGATAAGGAGCTTGCCCCAGGGTGAATCTGTGCACTGTTTCCTTCATCGGGAAAGTCTTGCTATGAAAAAAATGTCAGCTGGACTCAGAGTATGGTTAGTGATGTAGTCAATTTACAGGTAACAGTTTGCAGGCTGCTGGCCAGCCCGTGGACCACACTTTGAGTAGCCATGGGTTGGGGAATGACTTAGGGAAGACTTTAAATATTTTTCACATGAATGAAAGAATGAAGACAGACCTCCATCTCACCATCCCTCCCTCAGTAAGTCACCTGCAGCTCCTCTTGTTCCAGATTGCCCTGGAAACGCTCCTGCTCAGGGGACCCCAGAAGTTGCGGACTCATCCACTCGCTGACTATCGTTACACAGGTGATTGAAGAAAAGCTGCCAGCACAGTTTGTGCCTGGCTGAGACCCCTGTGAGCCCGTCAGCTCCACTGGCATCCTCGGCCTGTGCCTCCCAGAGTTCTCTTTGCCTGCCTTTGAGAAGGGCCTGCCCTCTCCTGGGTGCCTCAGTGGGCACTGCTTTCTTCTAGGTGGATCCCACTTTCCTCCTTTTCTAGCAGGTTCCCTCAAGCACTCTGCATGGTCAGGTCAGGGAGGCCTCTGGCAGGGAGAGGTGGAGGTGGGCCCAGCTCAGCAATTGAGAACACCAACCCTGGACTCAGGTGGCTTGGGACCCTCACTTGCCCTTGGCAAGTCCTTAACCGATGGACGCCTCACTTGCTGCATCTGTAGAGTGGGCATAGTAATGGTCCCTACCTCCTTGGGTTTTTGTGAGGATTGTATCAGATAAAGGAGTCTCTGGGTGGTGCAAATGGTTAATGTGCTCAGCTGCTAACTGAAAGGTTGGAGGTTGGAGTCCACCCAGAGGCACCTTGGAAGAAAGGCTTGGTGATCTACTTCCGAAAAATCAGCAATTGAGAACTCAGTGGAGTACATTTCTGCTCTGACATGCATGAGGTCACGGTGAGTTGGAGGCAACTCCACAGCAGCTGGTAGTATGTGATAAAGCAAGTAGAGGGCTTGGCAGAGTGCTGGCCACACATAGATTGTGCCCAGTGAACAGCGGCTTTAGAGAGGAAGGTGGTCTGCATTCAGCCAGGGCGGTGGCGGAGAAGGAGACATGTCCCTCCCCCATGGCTGTGTTCTCCAATAGGTTCGGACATCTGGACCCCCATGGAGAAGAGACTCTTTAAGAAGGCGTTCTGTGCCCATAAGAAGGACTTTTACTTGATACACAAGACGGTAAGGTGGACGTGGGCTAGCGTACATACGGCCTCGCCTCACACAGCTGAGATGAGCTGGAACTTAAGGGCGGGTCAGGAGCCTGGGGCCTGCCCGCCTCGCTTGCCTGGGTGACACTCTTATTTATAATTGTAAACAGTTTATAATTTTAACAAGTGGTAGTTGTGAACAAATCATACAGTCCAGAAGTGCATTACATGGTCAGAATAAAATCCTCCATGCCCTTCCACGCAGTCCTACTTCTGACTGATAGCTCTGACTGTGGACTATTGGCTTGAATACTTCCAGTCATTTCTCTGCAAGTGCAAAACGTACACACATACATGCAAGCCCTTAGAAAAGGAGGTGCTCATACTATTCATAATGTCCTGCTTTTTAAAAAAAAAATTGAGGTACACAAAAGTGCACATGACTGAAGTGTAAGATTGGATAAATTTTGCCATGTGTCTCTACTTGTGAAACCATCACCACCATCAAGACAATGAACATAAGTATCAGCCCCATGACTCTTTGTAATCCCTCCCTCCTGCTTCTCCCTGTCCCCTGGCACCCCCTGATGTGCTTTCTGTCATTATAAATTAGTTTAGAGTTTCTGGAGTTGTATATAAATGGAATAATCATACAGTATATGCTCTGCTTTGTCTGGCTGCCCTCAGCTGAACGATTTTGAGATTCACCCACATGTCTTAGTTATCTAGTACTGCTATAATAGAAATACCACCGCACCAGTGTATGACTTTAACAAGAGAAATTTATTCTGTCACAGTCGAGGAGGCTAGAAGCCGAATTCAGGGTACCAGCTCCAGGGGAAGCCTTCCTCTGTCAGTTCTGGGGGAAGGTCCTTGTCATCAATCTTCCCCTGATTGAGGAGCTTCTTAGCTCAGGGACCCCAGGTCCAAAGGATGGGCTATTCTCCTGGCTCTTTTTTTTTGGTGGTATAAGATCCCCATGTCTCTCTGCTGGCTTAGTCCTTTTATATCTCAAAAGAGATTGACATAAGACACAACTTAATCTTGTAGATTGAGTCCTGCCTCATTAACATAACTACATCTAATCCTCCTTCATTAACATCATAGAGGTAGGATTTACAACACATAGGAAAATCACATCAGATGATAAAATGGTAGACAGTCACATAATCCTAGGAATCATGGCCTAGACAAGTTGACAGATATTTCAGGGGGACACAGTTCGATCTATAACACCCATGCAATTGCATGTATCACCAGTTCATTCCTTTTTATTGCTGAGTGGCTAAACAGTCAACTGCTAACAGAAAGGTCGGCGGTTCGAACCCACCAACTGCTCCACAGGAGGAAGATGTGACAGTCTGCTTATGGAAAAATTTACAGCCTTGGAAACCCTATGGGGCAGTTCTACTCTGTTTGTAGGATCGCTGTGAGTCAGAATAGACTCAATGGCAACAAGTTTATTCCACTGTATGGATGTACCACAGTTTGTATAATTAAACATTCACCTGTTGATAGATGTTATGAGTTGAATTGTGTTCCCCAAAAATATACACTGTAAATCCTAACCTCTATGCCCGTGTTTTTAATCCCATTTGGGAATGGGTTATTTTTGTTATATATTAATGAGGCAGGATTAGTATAGGGTGTGTCTTGAGTCAGTCTCTTTTGAGATATAAAAGACATTAAACAAGCAAGGGAGAAGGCAAGATGGGGGAAGAGAGATGTCGACCCACGTGGAGATTGCCCAGGAGCAGAAGCTAAAATAGACAGGGACCTTCATCCAGAGCCAACAGAGAGAGAAAGCCTTCCCGTAGAGCCAGCACCCTGAATTTAGACTTCCAGCCTCCTAAACTGTGAGAAAATAAATTTTTGTTTGTTAAAGCCACACACTTGTGGTTTTCCTGTTATAGCAGCGCTAGAGGACTAAGATAGAATTTAATACAGAGAAGTGGGGATGCTGCTCTAACAAATACCTAAAATGTGGAAGTGGTTTTGGAATTGAGTAATGGGTGGACGGTGGAAGGTGTGTAATAGTAAAAGCCTAGATTGCCTTGAAGAGACTGTTGGTAGAATTGTGGACATCAGAGGCAATTCTGGTGAGGGCTCAGAAGGAAGTGAGGAGAACTATAGAGAAAGTATCACCTTAGAGAACACATATGGCACCAACAATAGAATGTTGCTAGAAATGTGGTCATTAAATATGCTTCTGGTGAGGCTTTAAAAGAAAATGATAAACGTATGATTGGATGATGGAGGAAGGGCAGTGCTTTTTATGCAGTGGCAAAGAACTTGTTTGAATTATGTTCAAGTGTTCCATGGAAGGTAGAACTTGTAAGTGATGAAGTTGGATATTTAGCTGGGAAGATTTCTAAGCAAGATAGATCTTAAACGGGCCACATAATTTCTCCTTGCTGCTTGTAGTAAAATGAGAGAGGAAAGAGATGGACTTAAAAATGAGCTGTACAAAATGAAAACAAAACTTAACAGTTTGGAAAATTCTGTTGTACAAACTAAGGACACGTGTTCTTGAGTGTTCACGGAGGACGTGGCTACGCATCTTTTGTTAGAGATTAAGCCCTGTGACTGATGGCTCTAACCAACTACCACATCAGAAAACCCATCAGCTTAGACTGAATGGAACAGAGAAATAGCAAAAGGAAAGAACACTGTCTGCCTCTTGGAATTCTACAGGCAGGAAACAGGCCAAAGGAGCTACATCTGTTGTCCTCCAAGAAAAGAAAAGGACCATCCCTGTAGCAGGTTGGAGATCAGCAGAACTGTTGGAAGGAGCATGGGAGGCGAGCTGCCTAGGTCTCAGAGGGTGGGTCCATAGCCTCTGGGGTCTCAAAGAGTGGAGCCATGGCCTCCAGGGTGCCAAAGGGTAGAGCCACGGGTGTTGCCCGATTCGGGTCCGTGCCCTGGAACAGTCAAGCCAATGAAACATACTCCAAGTCAGAAAAAGTGAGAAAGTTTATTTAGGAGGTGGCCACCAACGGGGATCCAACAGCAACACAGGCTGTGTCAATGGAGTTCCAAAAGGCATTTTTACATTAGAGCTTATAGCCTGCAGATGGCATGGCCGGATGAGTTATTTGTTACAAGGTAATTACGAGAGACTATCAGACTAAAGAGATACATGCCAAGACATCTCCTTATCAGGCTAAAGATAACGCATGTCAGACATCTGGGATCTAATCTTCCTGTGGGGGGTCGTAAGTCACAGGTGCCTGGGCAGAGCAGCACAAAGTCATTAACAAAGGTATGCAGAAAGGAGAAGGCAGGCAAAAAAGAACTTATAGGTTCATCATGGCATTATGTCAAGCTCTTAGTTGCCCATTTTGAAAAGGAGAAAACGTGCTGTGGAGTATTAGGGTCATAAGGGCCTCCTAGGTGTCAAAGAGCCAGATCTTCACCAGCTCAGTTCCAGAGTGTGGGACTGCCATTCAGTTTGGCCAAGAGGATGGGGCTGCTGCCCAAAGCTGAGGGAGTAGGGCTGCCATGCCCAGGGGGCAGAAGAATGGGGCCTGCTGGGGCTCGGGGTGAGGTCGCCACTCAGATGGACTAGGAGTATGGGGCCGCCCAAAACTGGGGGAGCAGAGTTGCCATCCCAGTGGGCCTGGAAGGCAGAGTTGAAGCCCAGGGCTGAGGGGCCTCCACCCAGAATCCAGAGAGCATGACTAACATCCACAGTGTGAAGATACTGAGAGCCAGGGCCATTGCCTAGATGGTCCCAAAGAGCAGAGGATTATTTTTAAGCCTTGAAAGCTAATGTAAATTGTTCTGCTGGGTTTTGGACTTACTTGGTGCTTTCCTTCCCTCCAGTTTCTCCCATTTGTAATGGAAATATCTACCTTGTGCCTGTTCCACCATTGTACTTTGGAAGCAGATAATTTGTAATCTAGATTTCACAGGTTCACAGGTGAAGAGGACTTTTGCCCCAGGATGGAAGACGCCTAAAGTCTCACCCATATTTGATTTAGATGATTCAGCAGATGAGACTTACTTTGGAGTTGGAGTTGATTTAAGACTTTTGGGATGATGTGATGGGGCAAATGTGTTTTGCATGTGGCAAAGACATGAATTTTGGGGGGCCAAAAAGTGGAATGTTATGAATTGAATTAAAACCCAGAAAACCAAACCTGTTGCCATTGAGTCATTTCCAACTTGTAGCGACCCTGTAGGACAGAGAAGAACTGCCCCATAGGGTTTCCAAGGAGCAGCTGGTGGATTCAAACTGCCAACCTTTTGGTTAGCAGCTGAGCTCTTAACCACTGCGCCACCAAGATTGAATGGTGTCCCGCAAAATTATGTGTTGTAAATCCTAATCTCTATGCTGGTGGTTATAATCCCATTGGGAATGGGTTGTCCTTGTTATGTTAATGAGGCAGGATTAGTGTAGGGTGTGTCTTGAGTCAATCTCTTTTGAGATAGAAAAGACATTGAATGAGCAAGGGAGGGAGAAGGCAAGGTGGGGGAAGAGAGATTACCAACCCACATGGAGATCGTCCAGGAGCAGAAGCTGAAAGAGACAAGGACCTTCTCCAGAGCTAACAGAGAGAGAAATCCTTCCCCTAGAGCAGGCACCCTGAATTCAGACTTCTAGCCTCCTAAACTGTGAGAGAATAAATGTCTGTTAAAGCCACCCACTGGTGACATTCCTGTTATAGAAGCCCTAGATAACTAAGGAATGGACGTTTGGATTGTTTCCAATTTTTGGAATAAAGCTGCTGGAATAAAGCGCACACGTCTTTATATGGACAAGTACCTTGTTTTTTGTTGAGGGGTGTAAATACCTAGGTGAGGAATGGTTAGATCATGTGATAGGTGTATGTTTAACTTTTTAAGAAACTGCCAAGCTGTTTTCCAAAGTTGTACCATTTTACATTCCTACCAGCAGTGTATGAGATTTCTTTCCACTTGCTCCACAGCCTCATCGACATTTGGTATGGTCAGTCGTTTTCATTTTAGCCATTCTTTTTTTTTTTTTTTTTAATTGTGCTTTAGATGACAGTTTACAGAGCAAATTAGTTTCTCATTAAACAGTTAGTACACAAATTGTTTTGTGACATTGGTTGCAATCCCTCTGTCCTTTTCCACCCTGAGTTCCCTGTGTCCATTCATCCTGTTTTCCTGACCCTTCCTGCCTTCTCAGCTTTGCTTTTGGGCAGGTGTTGCCCATTTGATCTTGTAGACTTGATTGAAGTAAGAAACACGTTCCTCATGTGTGTTAGTGTTTGTTTTATAGGCCTGTCTAATCTTTGGCTGAAAGGTGGACTTTGGGAGTGGCTTCAGTTCTGAGTTAGCAGGGTATCGGGGGCCACAGTCACAGGGGTTCCTCCAGTCTCTGTCAGACCAGTAAGTCTGGTCTTTTTTCATAAATTTGAATTTTGTTGTGCATTTTTTTCCCAGTCTGTCTGGGATCCCCTATTATGATTCCTATCAGAGCAGTGGGTGTTGGTAGCCAGGCACCTTCTAGTTCCTCTGGGTTCAGGCTGGTGCAGGCTGTGGTTCATGTGGTCCTTTCCTTTTGTCTTTGGTTTTTGTTTGTTTGTTTTTTTTCCTTTGTTCTGAACGGGATGGGTCCAATAGATATATCTTAGATGGCTGCTCGCAAGCTTTTAAGACCCCAGATGCTACTTACCAAAGTAGGGTGTAAAAGAACATTTTCTTCATGAACTATGTTATGTCAGTTGACCTAGATGTCCTCCAAGACCATGGTCCCCAGCCCTCAGCTCCAGTAACTCAGTCCTCAAGGAGTTTGGATGTGTCTAGGAAGCTTCTATGACTTTGCCTTGGTCGAGTTGTGCTGACTTCCCCAATATTGTGTGTTGTCTTTCCCTTCACCAAAGTTAACACCTGTCTACTGTCTAGTTAGTGATTTCCCCTCACCACTTCTCCCCTCCCTCATAACCATAAAAGATTGTTTCTTTCTGTGTGTAAACCTTTTCTTGAGTTTTTATAATAGTGGTCTCTTACAATATTTGTCCTTTTGTGATGGACTTATTTCACTCAGTAGTGCCCTCAACATTGCATCCATGTTTGTGAGATGTTTTGTGCATTCATCATTGCTCTTTATCTTTGCTGCAGTATTCCATTGTGGGTATATGCCATAGTTTGTTTATCCATTCATCTGCTGACGGGCACTTAGGTTGTTTGCATCTTTTTGCTGTTGTGAACAATGCTTCAGTGAACATGGGTGTCCGTATGGCTCTTTGTGTGATGGCTCTTATTTCTCTAGGATATATTCCTAGGAGTGGATTGCTGGATAGTATGTTGTCTTTTGTTATTTGAGGGTAAATCTGTTTCCAGTTGCTCCGTCTTGACCGGAAGCAGAAGTCCGACTTTTTTTTTTAAGACTTAGTGATATTTTTTAGACAGGCAGAGAATGTACTGTTTCGATTCCTAGTTTGCGAATACGCACATTTTGTTGTTGTTCTTAGGTGCTGTCGATTGGTTCCGATTCATAGTGACCCTATATACAACAGTACAACACTGCCTGGTCCTGCACCATCCGCATAATTGTTGCTATATTTGAGCTGATTGTTGCAGCCACTGTGTCAATCCATCTACTTGAGGCTCTCGTTTTCACTGACGCTCTACTTTTCCAAGAACGATGTTCTTCTCCAGGGACTGGTCCCTCCTGATAACATGTCCAAAGTATGTGAGGCAAAGTATCACCATCCTTGCTTCTAAGGAGCATTCTGGATGTATTTCTTCCAAGACAGATTTGTTCATTCTTTTGGCAGTCCATGGCATATTCAGTATTCTTCACCAGCACCATAATTCAAAGGTGTCAATTCTGCTTTGGTCTTCCTTATTCACTGTCCAGCTTTCACATGCATATGATTGAAAATACCATGACTTGAGTCAGGCACACCTTTATCCTCAAAGTGACATCTTTGCTTTTTAACACTTTAAAGAGGTCTTTTGCATCACATTTGCCCAATGCAATACGTGGTTTGATTTCTTGACTGCTGCTTCTGTGGGCATTGACTAGTACAGTTAGACTTTTCTATTTAATTTTATTATTATTATTATTTTACAGAAATTATTTTTGGTAGGATCCATTCTTAGTGGAGGGAAGAGCAAATGGTGGGGTCAGAATGCCCTAGGCTCAAACTGTGCGCTCAGAACATCCCCCTCCAACCGTGGACCACCTCCTGCCAGCACTTCAGCGGCCCTACCTGGTGGTTGTGATGACTGTGTAGTGCGTGAGGGGTTTCTAGTTTCATTAGTCCCACTTGGTAAACACATGGCTGTTAAGCATGGTGTTGCAGTGATCATCCTTGACTATATACCTTCGTGTACGTCTTCCCGTAGGGAGGGATTCCTGGAGGTGGAATTGCTGCTCAGAGACTGTGCAGAATTGAGATGTTTTTATGTTTTTGGCTACTGTGTGGCTTCACTTTGAACCTCCTCACCACCCTTATAGCAGGCGGGGGAGGGGGCACCAAGTTCAAGTGGAGAGACATTCTGTTCCAGAAGGGCTTTCAGAAAATGGTGACTGGCCCAGTGGGGTGGAGGGATTAGGCCTTCACGGTGACACTCGCAGCTGCTGGTGAGGCGCCATCCTAGCTAGCACACATTTTCCTTCATTAGATCCAGACAAAGACGGTCGCCCAGTGTGTTGAGTACTATTACATCTGGAAAAAGATGATCAAGTTTGACTGCGGCCGAGCCCCAGGGCTAGAGAAGAGGATCAGGAGGGAGCCAGAGGAGGTAGAGAGGACAGAAGAGAAGGTAGGGGCTGTGGGGGCATTGTCTGGAGCCCAGCTCTGCTGTGGATCCAGGTGGGAGGGCTGGGGGTGGGTGCTCCCGCTGGATGGCTTTCCCTACAGCAGATACTCCGAGCCCCGTGTCCCTTAGGAGAGTGGGAGGTCAGCACCTTTATGTCACCTTTGCCCTCTCTACAGGTCGCTTGCAGCCCTCGGGAAAGATCCAGCCACCGTCCAACTCCCGAGTTAAAGATAAAGACCAAGAGTTACAGGAGGGAGTCCATCCTCAACTCCAGCCCCAACACAGGCCCCAAGAGGACCCCCGAGCCGCCAGGGAGTGTGGAGAGCCAGGGCATCTTCCCATGCAGAGAGTGTGAGAGGTACTAGCCCTCTCCTCCCTGGCCCCCCTTGCTGTGGGGGGCTCACACTGACCCCCAGCCTCAGCCCCGTGTTAGTCACTGCCCTTCCCAGGCCCCTGGGGTGACTCGCCTCCCCGACTCTGACACCAAGCCCTCTGGTGAACCCTCAGGGTGTTCGACAAGATCAAGAGTCGGAATGCCCACATGAAGCGGCACCGGCTCCAGGACCACGTGGAGCCCATGGTCAGGGTGAAGTGGCCAGTGAAGCCCTTCCAGCTGAAGGAGGAGGAAGAGGAGGAGGAGATGGGGGCTGACATCGGCCCCCTGCAGTGGTGAGGCCGGGCCGGCCCAACGGGCTCTGCAGGCCTTGTCCTGGGGAGGCATCAGCCCAGTGCTGGGGGCGCCTTCCTGCCCCTCGCTTTCCCCGCCAACAGCCCAGCCAGCAGACACGCCTGGCATCCACCTGCACGCAGGTGGGAGAAGCGCACTGTTGTCGGACACCTGTGCTGCCCCGTCATTCACCTTCTCTTCTCCCCTCTCTCCGTCCCACCTCTTCCAGAGCAGGAAGGCGAGGAGGGAGAAAATTAGATCTGCATCACGCTTCAGCCTTCGCCGCAGGTTTGGGGCTTGCTGTGTTTGTTAGGTGAGGCTGAGATGTAGAGAATCAGCGGGAAGTCCCTTCAGACCCGTCTTGTTGGGCCTCCCTCACCGGGGGCCGCGGGAGGGGCTCTCTGCACTCCGGATTCTGCCCTCATCTCCCAGTGACTTGTACATTGTTAGGTCTTTTTTTTTTTTTTTGTACTTGTCTGCTTGTAAATTTTATTAAATTGGGTTCTTGAGCAGCTATCTTCTGGTTTCCCTGGCCTGTTGATCCCACAAGGGCTTTGAGCCCCGGCACGTGTCAGGACAACAGAGAAGAGAAAGATGGATCCTTGCCCTGGGGGAGCTGGTGGCCTGGTGGAGGAGCTGGACAGATTAACTGGTACATTTCGTTCAGCAGGCATTTATTAAGCACCTACTGTAGCATGTGCCGGGGCCAGTGGTGGCTCAGTGGTAGCATTCTTGCCTTCCATGACGGAGACCCGGGCTTCATTCCCAGCCAGAGCACCTCATGCGCAGCCACTGCCTGTCTGTCACTGGAGGCCTGTGTGTTGCTCTGATGCTGAATAGGTTTTAGCGGTGCTTCCTAAGATGGACTAGGAAGAAAGGACTGGCAATCTACTTCTGAAAATCAACCGATGAAAACTCTATGAATCACAGCAGTCTGATCTGCCACCACTCATGGGGATGGTGCAGGACTGGGCAGTTTTTTGTTCCATTGTGCATGGGGTCGCCATGAGTTGGGGGCCAACTCAACAGCAGCTAACAACAGCAATACCTTTTTTGAAAAAGCTCTCTGGCAGCTGTAGAGAATGGGCTGTAGGGAACAGGAGTGGAAGCTGGAGAGTGGATAGAAGGCTCTAAGTTAAAAGTGCTGGTGGCCTGGGCTGGGGATGTGGGGGACACGGGAGCAGTGCAGAGGGACAGAAGCCCTCAGACTAGGGTTGCCTTTCGGAGCTGGACTCTACAGACTTGTTGATGGGCTGCACATTGGGGAGAGGCGGTAGGAAAAGGGCAGAATCAAGCCTGCTGTGTAGGTTTGGGGCTTCAGCAGCTGAGTGCACGCCATCAGCCAAGATGGCGAAGAGCGGCACCGATGGTGATGGCATCGCGGCGTGACCGTGTCTACGGCTGTGCTGTGTTCTGAGCAGGACAGAGGGTGGTGTCAGAAGGTTCACAGAGGGGCAGCATTTTAGGTAAGTGCTCCACAGTGGGAGGAGGAGCAGAAAAGGAAGTGGTTTAAAGCAGTTTCGTCTCCGAGGTTAAGGGAAAGACCTCAGGCATCAGGTGAACCCAAATCTGCATCCCGGTACCTCTTCCTTCATCATGACCAAAGACAAGTCATTTCTCCTGTGTGGGCCTCATTTCTCTCATCTGTAAAATGGGATGAAAAATGCATACCCCACCTACCATGTATCTGTTAAATGAGAAAAAGTAAATTAAGTGTGTGGAAGGGTGCACCATACAGACTTAGCTCCTGTTTAACCTATTGCTGTTATTGCCTAGGTCACACCTTAAAGAGTAAGTCAGACTCCATGGCTCTGGAAAGGACTTTGGCTAAAAGGGTTGGGGGTGGTACATTAGTTATCAGGAGCCCTGGTGGTGCAGCGGTTAAGCTCTCAACTGCTAACCTAAAGGTTGATAGTTAAACCGACCAGCCACTCTGCGGGAGAAAGATGTGGCAGCCTGATTTTGTAAAGATTACAGCCTTGGAAACCCCACGGGGCAGTTTTACTCTGCCCAGTAGGGTTGTTAAGAGTCGGAATTGACTTGACAGCAATGGGTATATTAGTTATCTATTACTGCACAACAAATTGCTCTGAAACTTAACAGTTAAAACACATGGAAGCTCTTACAACAGGGCTGCTTCGACGGACACGGAACCAAAACTGCTTGTGATGGTCCAGACTCACCCCACCCGATTTGTTGTCAGGATACAGTGGCAGCCACCAGTGGGTGGTCCCGGAAAGCCTGTTTAAGAAAAGAGTGGGGTGGAGGTTTCTTGTGCCTTATGCCACTCAGCCAAACCCCAAACAGCATTTTTTCAAATGGTGGTTCCCAGATTGTCTGCATCCAAATCATCTAGGATCCTGTGGGAAAAAATGCAGATGCCTGTGCCCGGCCCCAGGCTTTCAGAATCTGAATCAGATAGGGGCAGGACCCTGGAACCTGAATTTTTAAAATGAACTTTTAATTTTAGAACAATTTTAGATTTACAGAAAAATTGCAAAGATCGTACAGAGAGTTCTCATATACCCTACACCTACTTTCCCTATTACTAACATCCTACATGGTTATGGTACACTTGTTATAATTAATGAACCAATATTGATACATTATTATTAACTGAAGTCCATACTTCATTCAGTGCCCTGGAAGCAGCAGTCAAAAAATCAAACGGTGTATCACATTGGGCAAATCTGATGCAAAAGACCTCTTTATAGTGTTAAAATGCAAAGATGTCACTTTGAGGATTAAGGTGCACCTGACCCAAGCCATGGTATTTTCAGTCGCCTCATATGCATGTGAAAGCTGGACAATGAATAAGGAAGACCAAATAAAAATTGATGCCTTTGAATTATGGGGTTGGTGAAGAATATTGAATATGCCATGGACTACCAGAAGAACCAGCTACATCTGTACAGCCAGAATGTTCCTTAGAAGCGAGGATGGCAACACCTTGTCTCAGGTACTTTGGACATGTTATCAGGAGGGACCAGTTCCTAGAGAAGGACATTATGTTTGGTAAAGTAGAGGGTCAGCAAAAAAGAGGAAGCCCCTCAATGAGATGGATTGACACAGTGGCTCCAGCAATGGGCTCAAACATAGCAACGTTTGTGAGGATGGCACAGGACCGGGCAGTGTTTCTTTCTATTGCACATGGAGTCGCTACGAGTCGGAACTGACTCGATGGCACCTAACAAGAACAACATACTTTATTCAAATGTCCTTAGCTTTTACCGAATGTCCTTTTTGAGGAGCCTTGCTGGCAGGGTGGTTAAGTGCTCAGCTGCTAACCTAAAGGTTGTCAGTTCAAAGCCACCAGCCACTCTGTGGGAGAAAGATGTGGCAGTCTGCTTCCGTAAAGATTACAGACTACCCCTGACCTACCCCCAGCATTGTGTGCGTGCGTTTTGTTTTTGCTTTAACATTTCCTTACTTCTGGCACTATAAGATGCTCCAGGATCACTCTGCATAATGCCCTGCCCCTAGTTCTTTTATTATAGTGTTAGAAACCAAGATCTAGGCTCTAGGTGTGCTTAAAGCTAAGACTTTTTATTTTATTGGGGTAAAATACATAACACAAAATTTGCTATTTTTAACCATTTTCAGTGTACAATTCAGTTACGTTAATTACATTCACAATGTACAACTATCACCACTATATCCAAAATTTTTGATCATCCCAAACACAGTACCCATTCAGCACCGCCCCCAACCCCCCGCCTCTGGCACAATCAGTTTGGTGTCTATACATTTGCCTGTTGTAGATATTTCACGTAACTGTTGAACATGGATATTTAACACCCTTCCTAGCTGTTTCTATGCAAGCAGAGTTAGAAAACCTCTTCTCAAATTTTTGTTTCTGGTCTTTGGAGTACTTCACTAACTCCCCCAACCCCAAACCAGTTTCAGCAGTTGTCGGCAGAGGGCGCAAGAAAAGACAGAATGTTTTCCTTTTTACCACACACGCTCTTCCAACAGGAGAACAGCGGGAGATAATCATAGAAGCGGCGGCACGAAGCTCTGCACCGGGGAACTGTCGACTGTCACGTGAGGGTCGGCTGTCACCTGACTAGTGCTGAAGTCCTGTACGGAGGGGCGGGTGCTAGTGAGGACAGCTGATAATTGGTGGAGTAAGAACCTGAAAGGTAGCGCCGTGGGGCGGATCCTTCACGGTGAAGATTTGGATTGGCTTACGCGGAGTCACGTAGGGACTGAGGCTGGCGTACGAGCATGTGTGCGTACGCGTCGAAGTCGGCGGACGCGGATTGGAGGTTACAGCTCCCTGGTCGGTGAGCGGTGCCTGAAGAGGGCGTGGCCGATGGGGGAGCACACTGCCACGAGGCTTCTGGTTGGTCGGCGTGAGTCACATGGTGGTGGGCAGCCGGCGGTCCGCGCCGGTGCGACGTCAACGCAGGTCCCTAAGCTCCCCGATCTGCCTTCCGCGGTCGGGCCGGGGTTGAGTCTTCCTAGGGCTCGGTTTGGGTAGTTGCTGAGTCCATTTGCGACCGCCATGGACAACTCCGGGAAGGAAGCGGAGGCGATAGCGCTGCTGGCAGAGGCGGAGCGCAAAGTGAAGAACTCGCAGTCCTTTTTCTCCGGCCTCTTTGGGTAAGAACCCGGCCGAGGGCCGGCTGCGACCTAGGCTGAGTGAGGGGCCGAAGGAGTCACGGCCTGAGGCGGCGGGGCAGGCGCGAAGGTCTCGGGCCGAGGGGACGGAAGGGATTCCGGGATGAGGCGACATGGTCTGAGGCAGCAGGGGGACACAGGCTGAGGGCCAGGGGGCTCAGACCCTGGCCGCACGGTGTGAGGAGAGACAGCGAGACGGCAGAGGGGACCTGGGCTGGGAAGACACAAGCCGAGGCGACACCATCTTGAAGCGGCTAAGGGAACTTAGGCCCAAGACGGGCCAAGGGGCCAGGGGAGAACATAGGCCAACGGAATATGGGCCGAGGCCTTGAAAGGGGCTCGGCCTAGAGGGTTGCGGGAACCAGGTTAAGGAGTCTTTCGGAGCGGTAGAAGAACCTTCTTGAAGGATCCTTGATGCGGCCTGGGGCTGAGGCCACCTTCCCAGTTGTTGGCATTCCTGAGGCCCGCAGAAGTGGATTTGTGTGGACCCTGGGTAACGGGTGAGGACTGAGGAATCTGACACCAGACCAGGGGATCCGCAGAGTGGTGAGCTCAAGTCCAAGGTGTGCAAAGTGCCTGGGGTGATGACCAGTCTAAGAGGAGTTTATGCTTGATTGCGACCCAGTTGGAGGAGTCCCTGGGGGTGATGGAGGAGGCCTGGGCTCAGAGACTGGAGAGGAACATGCGATGGGGAATGACTGATGCTGGCTTGGCTGAGATTGAGGGGTCAAATGGAGACATGAGGGAACTGAGGAACCAAAGGGGGGTGAGTGAAGGCTGCTGTGTGATCACTGAGTAAAGACGGGGAGGTCTGAGGACAGTAGCTGGGGCAGGCTGAGAAGAAGGCCTGATAGGGGCCTGCCAGACGGAACTAATGCCTATGACATGACGGATATTTCATGTAAAATTTATTAGCTCTTAAAAGTACTCCTGATGACATTCTTTGAGGCATCTTAGTGGTTTTGGAGTGTCATAAAGCCCAGGTGTGAAGTGTGATTCTGCCACTTATTTTGGCATCCTGGATAAGTTGTTGAACTTCCCTATGAAAAAGGATCACTAGTAAAACCTATCTCAGAGGTTTGCTGTGAGTGTGTAAGTGCTCAGAAGCGAGCCTGGATGTGGTTAAAGCTCGGAAAGTGTTTGCTGTTGTTAATTTGAGGAAACAAGCTTGGAGCCTGTAGGGGGTGCTGGCAGGAATTAAGACCCCAGCCCAAGGGGAGAGGTCTGGGAGGAGTTGAGGAGGGATCCAAGGGGGGAGAAGCCTGAGTGTGATAAAGAGGAGGTGAAAAGGAGTGGGCAAATGGCTCTGGGCCATGGGGATCTGTGAGGTTAGAGGGCTCTGGGCAGAAGAAGTAGGGATCGCTGGAGTAGAGGAGGATGATGCTGAGGGAGGGACTGGAAAGGGTGAAAGGGAAGCTGTCGGGACTGTGAGGAAGACTGGGAGAGGAATTGGTCATTTTAGAGAGTTAGGAGAGGAGCCCTGGTGGCGCAGCAGCTAAGTGCTTGGCTGCTAACTGCAGGGTTCGCTGTTCAAACTCACCCAGTAGCTCTGTGGGAGAAAGGCCTGGTAGTCTGTTCCCATAAAGATTACAGCCAAGAAAACCCTGTGGGGCAGTTCTAATCTGTCACTTGGGGGTCACAATGAGTCAAAATGGACTCAGTGGCACCTAATAAAAACAACAGAGAGTTAGGAAGGAGTCCCTGGGTGGCTCACATGGTGCTTAACCTGACTACTAGGTGAAAGGTTGGTGGTTTGAATCCATCCTGAGGCACCTTGGAAGACAGGCCTGGCTGTCTGCTTGTGAAAGGTCACAGCCTTGAAAACTCTCTAGAGCAGTTCTACTCTGCACACATGGGGTCGCCATGAGTTGGAACGGACTCCACTGCAGCTAACTACCAACAAAGAAGAGTTAGGAAGAACTGCAGGTGTGCACGGGGCATGGACTCTGAGAACTCAAGAGAGGCAGAGACCAGGGATGGCTGTGAGACTGGGAGAGCCCCCAGAAGGCTAGGGAATGGAGTTTGGGAGGAGGGCTTGGGGGCTAGAAGAGACTGCGTTAGGAGCCCAGTAGAGGTTGGTAAGAAATGAAGGGAAGTTCCTTTCCGGAGAGGAGATGGTGGAAGGAGCCCTCCCTTGTTATCTGAGGCTCGATAATGTGTAGCAAAAGGACTTGAGGAAAGTGGTGTGCAGAAACATCCGGGACTGATGGATCATATTGATCAGGCGAGGAATGTTGTTTTAGAAGCTGCAGGGGGAGAGCGGGTATGTGTGTTTTTTCTCTTCACAAGGGGAGAAGTTCAAGTGCGGTCTTTTGGGGGTGGGGCCAAGAGCTCAGTTTCAGGTAGTCGTTTTTCTGGGTGTCTGGTCCCTTCTGACTAGAAATTGGGGTGCTCTTGGGTTGTGCTTGAAGGGAGCTGCTAGGCCAGTGAGGTCAGAGTCCTTGAGGCACTTGCACGCTAGATGAGAAGGCAAGATTTGTTGTTGTTTGCTGTTGAGTCTATTCTGGCTCATAGCAACCCTATAAGGCAGAGTAGAACTGCCCCATAGGGCTTCCTAGGCTAAAATCTTTACGGGAGCAGATTGCCAGGTCTTTTCTTCCGTGCTGCGGCTGGTGGGTTCAAACTGCTAACTTCCGGTCAGTAGCCGAGTGCTTAACCGTTGCACCACCAGGGCTCTTTAAGGCAAGATTAATGTTGCCAAACTTGAGCAAAGCAAACTTGTGTGATGCAATGAGGTATAGATTATGTCGTGCAGGTGAAGTTCTGAGATGAGAGGAAGTGTGTGAACTGGAGGAAGGCTCTTTATGAGGAGTGGGCCCAAGATTTTGCTAAGGGAGCGGGCCTGGGAGAGTGTTCTGGGCAGCAGAAATAGTGCGAACAGCCATCTAGCAGGAGGGGCGGTTCTGCCCAGAATGACAGGGACACCAAGATCTTGAGGGGCAGGGGATGGCTTCCTGGAGGAGAGGCTGGCCAAGCTCCAGCTCGGAGGATAAACAGAAGTCCTTGTGGTGCTCTCTGGCAGGGGTATGGGTGGGGGACAAGCACTCCAGGCAGAGGGAGCAGCTTTAGCAAAGGCCCAGAGGCGGGAAGGTTTAACTCGAGGGAGTTCTGTTATGTACTGTGTTGAGTTGATTCTGACTCATAGTGACTCTCTGAGTCCATGTCATTAGAACATAAAACTAGAAAGGGAAGAAGCAGCTTGTGTGGGGGGTAGGTTAGGTGGTGGGGAGTGAAGGCAGAGGGCCATTGCAGAAGTAACAATAATAATACCCATTGCCGTCAAGTCGATTCCGACTCATGGCAACCCCACGTGTTGCAGAGTAGAACTGCTTCACAGAGTTTTGTGTTTTCTTGGCTGTAGTCTTTACGGAAGCAGATTGCTAGGTCTTTCTCCCACAGAGCTGCTCGGTGAATTCGAACCACCAATCTTTCTGTTAGCCGCCAAGCACCACCAGGACTCCTTTCTCTCATTTTGTCCTCACAAAATCCCCGTGGAGGTGGCTACATGGAGGCTCAGAAGTTGACTTCCTTGCCCAGTCACACAGTCAGCAGGTGGGAGAGGCTGCGTTCCAGCCCTGGGCTGTGCTTTCTCAGTAGCTCCTCCTAGAGGCTCCCATTCCTGGGCACTACGTTTAAGAAGGATGTTGGCAGACTAGCTGTGTTGGGGAGCCACTGCCTCCTAACCGTCTCCCCCTTCCCCCAGGCATGGCTGTTTTCTCCAGATATTTGAAAGAAAGAACAGGCTTCATCACAGTCCCTTCCAGCTCCAAGAGACATTGAGATGGTGCCGAGAGAGTGGAGTGAGTGAGCAAGGCCAGGGCCGGGAAGGGAGGCGACCGATCTATTGGAGCCTGGCTGGGAGAGAAGCTGGGGGTCAGCTCGGAGCACCCACGTCGGGCTCCTCACGCACAGGAACCCTCATGACAACTCCTTCCCTTCTTGTCTGTGTTGAACATTTTACAGCCCTCCATCTTCTTAAGGTCTTCTGAGTCCAAGTCCTGGAGGGGAGTGTTAGGGCACAGCTTGGCTCTGGTGCTTCTCCCTCTCTTCTGGGAACCTCAGGGTTGGCATCATCCCAAATTGGAGTGTCAGAAGGGCCAAGCTGGCTGCGCCCCCTGGGACCTGGGCAGTCCCTCTCCCCTCCCAGTGGTGGGCTGGTGTTTGCTTAGCTACCTTCTTCCCTCTTCTTTGTTTCTGGGCTGCCAGGCACTAGGGGGCTTCGGTACACCAACAGGCAGTTACTTCAGGAGCAGAAGCCGCGTTTGTACCTTCCCTTCTGCTCCCTGCTCTGTTCCTCCACTCCCCAGCCCGTGGAGACAGGGTCAGCTGGGGCAGGTGCTGGGGAAGCAGCCCAAACTCCTAGTGATTTCCCAAGTAAAGCACAAGGAGACAGCGAAGAAGGAGAGGGGAGAGTCAGGTGCACTTCTTCGTCCCCCCGCCCAGTATTTCCCAGTGGACACAGAGACCCTCACTGCTGTGCCCCTTGGGGTCCTGCAGATTCTGAGCACTGGCTCTGTTCCCTGTGGCTTTTCCTCATCCCTAACATCCCCCCTCCCCACCCCTAAAAATCCAAAATAAAAGCTCCTTTCCACTTGGATACCAACACGGTCACGAAGTTTGTTCATCTGTGAAATGAAAATGATAGTAATACAAGCATCATAGGGTGGTTTTAAGGAATAAGTGAGATTATGCGTGTAAAGTGGTGAGGGCACAGTGCTGGCCCTGGGAAGTGCTTATTAAGTGCTGGCTATTATTTTTTTTTATTACTATTGGGTATTGTCATTGGTAGTTGAACTGTGGGTGATGGAGAATAGAGATGACAGGATGTCCCCCTGTATACAAACAGCGGTTCCTAAAGGTCAAATGTTGGCACACCCATGCCTGTTGGCACTGTTTGTGGGCACCCGCACTCCAGGAGCCCAGGAGGGCCTATTTGTGTGAAGGAAGTGTTGCTGCCCGGGTCACGCGGGGCTTCCACATGC